TTGCCATTGCTAAGCGATGCAGTCACTTGACATTGCACTTTATGTCACATCACTTAGCAATGACAATCCTGGCCCCAGTTACCATCATAACCCGAGGACTGCCTGTAAAGAAAATCTAGCCTCTGTTGAGCTTAATCAGGTAGACGGCTCAGATAATTAATGAAGAGAATAAAATAATTTGGCTATTACCATTCGTCTTTACTATTCTCTCATATTTGATGCCTGGATAAAATTGTGGAGGCAGTTCTTAAGAACACCACATTGCTGTATTTACTGGACAGAGAAGATAATGCCTGTGTAAAAGAAAATGCAACATTTGCCATTCTCTTTTAGCAGTTGGCAGTACTTTATGATAAAATTAACTCTTTAAATGCTTTTTAGAGTCAAATGTCCAAGATGATGTCTAACATGCAGACTCTGATGGCAACAGAAAGACAGCATCGTCAAGAGTTGGAGCAGGCAGAACTTGAAAAACGTGAATTATTGGAATTAATGAAGAACTTCCAAACAGACAGCCTCTCTCCAAGAGCTGAAAGCAAGAAAGCAACACATTCCCAGCCTCTATCAAGGCTGGATAGTATGAAACTAAAAACATGGGAAGCAACAGCCATATAAAACTAAAAGTTTTAAAACCAGGTTTGCTGAACTTTGAACTAATTTTAGAGGGCAAAATTATTAAGTTATTCTAAAACAAATCAGTACTCATTTATAGGCTTTATTTTCCTTGAGATCCTTTCAAATCTCATTGAGTTTGGGAAGAATCATATTTAAAAGAGAGCATCTTCAAGTGTTAACTATTTCAGTAGTCAGTCTTAGGAATTTAAAAACCTGGGCATGATTTAAATATCTTGTTTTACGTAATCTATTATTTTTTCCTCAAATGAGTAACAAAATGTTTTTCTGCTATTCAGAACAGGATATTTAAAAAAAACTTAGACTTGAAGATTAAGGCAAACAGGACCTTAGTTTGAATATGAAAATTATAGGAATAAAGATTTTTTTTCAGTAATTGATATTCTAAACTATGCAAGATAAATTACTGGATTCTGATCCTGATTTCTAATTTACCTCAGTGTTTTTTTTTTCCAAGTAATTTGTAAACCTTCAAAATGGGATACTTGTCATCCTAGAGGTGGAAGACAAAATAATAATAAATTTAAACTTTGGGTTTTGTTTTTTTTTAATTATAGTTGATATCTAAAGGGAGGATTTTACAGTGCCTTTATAACCCTGGCCCTTATGTTAGATATACTTCAGAACTGCAATATAGTTAACACAATTTGTAAGTTGATCTTACAGTCCAATCTACCTCATATGATTGCTTCAAGAATAAAACTGAAAGTGGAAATACTGTATATTTCACTGGAGATCCCAGAATAAAAGGTATCACCCTAATCAAAAAATAAGTTGTCACAAAAGCAGTTCTCCCATAACTACATTTGGACCAAACCTATTTATGTTAATGAGCATTTCAGTTTCCATTACCAGAAAAGCATAAATCTCATTTGTTTAGATTAGATTAACATGTTTTTCAGTATTAAAATAGCTCAAGAAATTTGTAAACGTTTTTAATATTACACATACTCAGCAACTAGAAAATCAATATTACAAATACTCAGCTAACTAATAAAGCTAATAAATATTTTTGCACGTTATTAGCCAAAATGGGATTTTTGGACAGTTTAACATAGAAGTGTCAAAAAAGAAGGGTCAGAAAGGAATGTACTCTTTGGGAAAATGAGGCTGCACAAAAAGAAATTAGGAATACTATCACAAATTTGATAATCTAGGCCAGGGGTCTCCAACCTTGGCAACTTGAAGACTTGTGGACTCAATGCACAGAATTGGCTGGGGAATTCTGGGAGTTGAAGTCCACATGTCTCAAAGTTGGAGACCCTTGATTTATATGCAGTGTGGATTATGCTTGTTGAAAGAAGTGTAGAAGAGGTCTGACTGAAGATTGCTAAAATGTGCATCTTTGTGTATTTTTCTTTGAAATAAATACTTCCATTTCCAATATTTTTATTCCATGTGCATGTTCTGAAAGTGCAGTGCTGTTGTGGGTTAATTTTACTGCTGTGACAAATAAACAAAGGAGTTCATTAAGTCTTGGCTGGTTTCAGTAGACAAGCAAAGCTTTTTCTTACACTAATCCTGTCACCCCCATGAACTAAAAAGAAATTTGACACTTAATTCATAGTGCTGTTAATATTGATAAAACATTTGATGGAAGTAAATCAACTGAAACTACATTAACCCAAGTCACAAATGGCATATGAAACCACATGACTTAACATGTGAATAAATTTGATAAAAGCACAACTCTAAAACTGCCTGGTATAACCCTCAAAAAAGAAATCCTCAGTAATGATACCATGGCACACAGTATGGGTTTTGTGGCCAGGCTGGCTGCTTTTGTGCTGGTCTGAGATAGCAGGAGAGAGAAATATATTCAGAGCATATCTACAGCATCCCAAGAGCAAATGGTTTGCTGTGCTGCTAACTAAGACTATTGTGGGGGCAGATAGAGGTGGCATTCATATAGGCCAAACCTAGTGTGTGTATTGATTTTGGGGACTTAAATCCTGGAAGAAAACCTTTATTGTCAGCTGCTGGGAGACATACTGCAGGTTTGAGCTGTTAAATGAAGAAAAGGGAGAGGGGGAAGGAGATATGTTTGAACCTGTGCTGCTTGAGACATCAAGGCAGAAAAAATGGCTTTGGAGAAGCTGTGCAGGAAGTTGCTGGCTATCACTGTGCAAGTGCTGATCCAATGGAATGTGCATTTTCAGTTTCTGGCTCCAGAGGATGAAGATGTTAGTTGGAGGCTTCTCTGGGAGAAGTGAAAACCCAAACAGGGACATGCTTCATCCCAAACCCAAGGCAGACACCTGGAGCCTCCAGGGAAGCCCCAGACCAGGAAAGGCAGAAGATCCAAAGGGAGGTACATCACTCAACATATACACACAGGAATGGCTGATGAGATCCAAAAAAAGCATGACAAAATTGTTTGATCAAAACAGAGATGCCCGAAACGGGAGGAAAAGGGAAGTAGGTGGGTGGTTGCTAGCAAATAGCTCTGGCAAAGAGAAAAAAATCAGGGCCTGAGACATCATGGACATTGCTGTAAATGGTTCCATTTTTTCACTAATTTCTTAAATTTATCTTTACGTACTAAAACAATACCAGTTTCTGTCTCAGTGAAGCAAATGCCCTTAAAGTCACACCCTCAGTAACTATGACTGATACCAATATAACCAGTTGAAATTTGGAAGGATAGGATTTTGGTAAGCTATATGACAGTGATGGCGAACCTTTTAGAGACTGAGTGCCCAAAAACTGGCCTGGCCCCTGCTCCATCCCCTGCCCGCAGGGCCACTCACTATCTCCAGGGCCCGCCGCAGATCACCCAGGCAGCCCAGCAGCACCATGGCGGCCATGCCCTCTGCCCATGCCCCGCAACATCAACTGTGCGCGATGGGGCGTGAGGGCAGAGTCTTGTCTATGCTGCCTGGCTGCCATGTCCTTGACTGAGCTGCTCGGCGTGGGCCACGCTCGGGGGCAACACTCCCCCAGGGGGTTGCTGGTGAGGAGGGGGTCGCGTGCAGAGGCAAGGCTGGGGCAACGGCACGTGTGCCCACAGAGAGGGCTCCAAGTGCCGCCTCTGGCACCCGTGCCATAGGTTCGCCACCACTGCTATATGAAATAACAGCCCTACTCATTCAGAAAACCAAAATGGAGACATAGGACCCTATCCCAGTGCCTCTGTCTCAAGTTCTTGGTTGCTGGGGAAGATCAGTTGCTCAATAGTTCAGGTAGTCCTTGACCTACAATGACAATTGGGTCTGGGATTGCTGTCGCCAAGCAATGCCGTTGTAAAGTGTGACTGCTTCGCTTATAGCAATCCAGGCAGTCCTGGAGTTAAATAAATGCCCTGGTCATTAGGCAAAGCAACTTCTTTCCAGCATGAGCCAGGGAGGGTATGCAAGATTGTGGAGGAGGGTCAGAGAAGGTGCACAAGCGGCTCAGAGCCACTTGGATTTTCAGGCCCAAAGTCAAAAGGCTTCTGAATCCTCTCCAGTTTGGGACTGAAAATCTTCCATAGCAGAAAATCCTGCTTGGGTTTTGGCACAGGGTGTGATCAGCCAGCCTCCAGAGACCAGAAGGAATCTTCTCAGCAAGTGGTAGCAGTTGTGACCTTCTCGGTCAGCTTCCCCATTAATTTTCTGAGGACTCGGCAGAGAAGATTGTAACTCATGTGATTTCGTTAAGTGTAAATGGGTTGTCAAGAGCCCAGATTGCAATCACATGACCACAGGGGCACTGCAACAGCTATAACTTTAGAGACTGGTTGTAAATGATCATTGAACTAATTGTTGTAAGTCAAGAACTATTTGTAGTCCTTGCTTAATGACCGATTGCCTGGTACAGTGACTTTGTCTTTGTAGGTTGTAAAACAAAAGAAAACTGAAGTAAGATTAGTGGTTGCAGTTTCACTTAGTGACATGTTTCACTTAACAACTAAGTTACAAGTTCCAACTGGTTACTAAATCGAGGACTACATGTATGGCTGTAGTTCTCCACATCATCAGGAACCCTGATTGTAGTTTCATTACTCTGTGAACCATTGTAACGTAATATCACTTCAGATATACCCCCTGCCCAATATATACCTCATCTTCAGCTTCTCAAATACCTAGAAAGTGCCAACTGTTTTACAAAATAAGATAACTAGGACATGTGGCATTTACAAGTTGCCTAAACTTTCTAAAATATATCTTTCTTGCGAAACGGCTTCACCCAAAAATGACCTTGCAGCATCCAGAGTAGCTTGATGAATGGCAGCTTTAGAAGTTGATCAAATAAATAATACAATAGCTGGAGCTTTAGGAAGGTGCTTGACGAATCCTGCTATCTCAGAGTACCAAAAGGTGTTCTTCATTCATTACTTAGCAGAGGTAGTCTCTATATCTTGGGTGAAAGCCACATTGCAAACCTACTAGAAAAAAAATTCTTTATTTCTGGCACACTGCCATGTCATGCCCCAAACACAAATATTACACACAAAAAAGACAGTTTTATTGAAATCTCAGATCTTGTACGAAACAAAATTGAATCCCTAAAAAAAGTAATGTCTTGCTGCCTTCAAATACCAAAGGTCTAGCATTGGTCCTCAATTAATTAATTGTTTCACCATCATCTTGAAATGTTCACAGTCAGAACTGTTTATCGAGTAAAGGAACGAACGTGACGTCCTCTTCCACTGCTTCCGCTAACAAACTTCCCTCTTGAACCACCACTACCACTGTTGTTGGTACTTGCCCAAGATGGTGTAATTCCACCACGACCTCTGGAAGCACGATCACGGGGGCTTGGCCGGTAGCCTTAAACAAATGGGAAGGTTATTGGCAACAGTATCTATGCTTTTGTAATGGGATGTACAAGTTATGCATTATAATTTTCTGATGGAAGCCCCTTCAAATGACCAAATTAAATCTTCTTAGTATACAGGAAAACATGCCACACTGTTTAAAGAATTAAAATGATATATAACAGGCAGAGGAAAAAAATGTATTAGGATTGTAATTTAGTGCAGCTAAAACCAAGACTTGCTACCAAGATTTTTTTTTTCTTTTAATGATTCATCAGGAAGGAATTGAGGTGATTGAATGGAGCTGAGCGTTTACTGGTCGGATACCTTTCCTGATTCCTATGCAGACTTTGCAGCCCATATTTTCTCTTTGCGTCCAGAGAGAAATATCTGCAGCTACCTAGGATTGACCTCATAGCCTCCTGATTGTGAGGTGAGAGCTCCACCTTCAGGCCACCACACTACTCTTGCTACCAAGAATAAATAACCTGACTGAAAATGTGTAAAAATGTGAGAACTACTGAGGCTGAAAAAGATATGCTAATTCTGATATTGCCTAATGCATATTTCCAACTCCTATTTTAATTAAAGTTATGTATTTTAACAATTAATAGGTAAAACATGCAAGCTGTTGTGCAGATAAAATAAAAGCCTTTAGCAAGGAACTTATACCATTAACTTTTAATGCAGGGGTGTCAAACTCAATTTCATTGAGGGCCGCATCAGCATTGCAGTTGCCCTGGGGGGGGCGGATGGGTGCGGCCTATTGGGTGAGCGTGGATGAGATGGGTGTGGCCTACTGGGTGGGCATGGCCAGCTCTACATCATTCACATCAAGGGTGCCTGTGGGGGCCTGGGCAGGAGTGGGACAGATCTGAGGGTCTCTGGCAGAAAGGGGTGGGACCAGGGCACAGCCCATCAACCCAGATATGTGAAGTAGGCGAGGGCCATTTGCTGGCCACTTCCAGGCGATGGTGCATTTCTTCATTCCTCATAAAGGGTGACACCTCCCCAGCATGCACCCAGGGGATGCGGTCGAGGCGGCAGGGGCTGGTTCCTTGCTGTTTCCAGACGGCCTTGTAGGCCAGGGCCAAGGCAACGGGGACCGTTCCCCCTGTTTCCAGGATGGCTTCGCGGGCCACATGAAGCCACTTCACAGGTCGCATCCGGCCCCCGGGCCTTGTGTTTGACATGTCTGTTCTAATGGGTGTCAGCCCAAGAAAAACTGCCCTCATGTTTTTTAGAGTTTTTCTATTGTCCTTTTTTTTAAAAAAAGTACATTAAATTATCTAAGGTGCCTTGAAGAGTTAAACAATAAAATAAAGCTCAAAAACTAGAGAGGATATAAACATGTTCATGTCATTTTCTTGGCAGCAAAACAGAAGGAACTGGCCACTGCCATCTTCTGGGATGTTTTTTTCCTTGATTACAGCCCTGGCTTTTACTGTTGGCCTCCCACTCAGGTAGTAGCCAAGTCCAAACTTGCTCTGAGATCAACCTAGGCTGGCAAGGTGCCAAACCTGCTGTGACTTAAATGTAATAAATAAAAAAGTAACTTCGGGATCTTGCTCTAATTGTTCCATGATTGTGTTTTGCCTGTTACACAATATGCTGCCTGGAAGGCATGCCTTCTATTTTCTGTGATGATTACCTCCTATCTCAGGGAAAATGTTTGACCACCAAGCAGTTATATGTGCTTGCTTTCTATTATTTTGAACAAAACTTACATCTGGTATTCATTTCTAAATTTTGCATTCAATGGTGGTTTTGTGATTTCACCCTTGATTTGCAAGGCATCTTGAAAGCTCCATGCAAAGAACAATTAGATACAAAATATATAAAGCGATCAATTATACTGTAGAGGAAAACAATCCCTTACCCGCAGAACTTAAAGGCCTCAGGGGGGGAAGAGGTCCTCTGTTGAAATTGCTCTGACCACCTCGACTTTCACTGTATGTTCCTCGGGGGGAGTTTTGGGCACTCCAGCTTGATCCTCTGGCTCCTTCACGGCGACTATAATTTCCTAAATGAAAAGTGATACTTAAGCCAAATGCAGATTGCTCTTATTTTAATTTAGATTTAACTTAACATCTCAGTTTAACAGCATATTATTTTTAAAAATGGCAAACGTAGTACAACAGCACAGGAAGTGGGCAGTGTTAAAGCAGAGGAGAGGTGAAAGAATGTGAAAAAAACATATAGATTCTGCTTTTTTTACTTGCAACAATAAATAATATAGCAGCATGACAATGAATTTCACTTTAAGGAATATGTGAGATAACTGACCGTCAACCTGCCTTCCTTAAGAGCTCAAAGTTTTCAAGTTCAAGTGAGCCATATAACTTACCTTTCGAAGCAGGTGGTGTGAAGAATCTGTTTTGGCTGTGAAAGGCTCCACGCCCTCCACGGTTCCCTGAGAAGCCACCACGGGAAGAAATTTTCTGTGAAACTTTAGGTGGCCTCTTGGGAGTTGGGATCCCATCTGGTGGAACCACCTCTTTGCTCTCTGCAGCTACAAAGTCATCAACATGCATAGAGGGCGGCCTGCTGGTATTCTGTTTCCTCTGGCGGAAGATGTCATGGGGGCGGATGCCTTGGCCAAATGCTCCCCTGCCTCTTCCTCTAGGTGGAGGTACAATATGAGCCCTCTTGGCAGGTTCAATGTATTCTGACTTTCCACTACAGAGGTGGAAAGAAGAAGGAGAATTTTACAAATTCTTCACAAGCCAGCTAAAATGACATTAAACCTTTTTTGTTATTTTGTGGTCACTTTTCTGAATATTTTTCAGAGTTGAACTACGTCAACATTGCTAGCTCAAGCAAGCATTTTCATATCAGTTAAATACAAATAGTATTACTATAACTCATTGATATATTCTACAGAATTTACCAAATCTCAGATTTAAGTCTAAAAGGGGTTTAAGGAATCTTCCCTTCTTTCACAAATCTGTCATATCCTTATTTCATTCTAGCACAGTGGTGGCGAACCTATGGCACGTGTGCCAGAGGGGGACACTCGGAGCCTTCTCTGTGGGCACGCGCACCTTGCTCTTTGGCTAAGTTTTCGCAGGAAAAAGCCATTTCTCAAGCCCCTTCCTAGCCAAAACAAGCCTCCAGAGAGAGCGCACTGTTTTCAGCTTCAAATTATATCAAATCTGACACCAGAAACAGAGTAACAGATGACCTGAGTGCTACATGTGTTGCTCTCAAACTTACAAAGTATAAGCCAAGGTTAGACAAATTATCAGCATGCATACAACAGCAAAAATCACATTAATTGTTCAAAAGCATGCCAAATGCAAACTTTTACCTTTCAGTAAAAAGTTGTTTGTATCATTGAAAGCTTTGTTACTGTGTTTTTCTTTTAAGACAAAAGATGTTAATGTATGAGTTGTTTTTTTCTAAACTAAACCTCAGTATTCAGATTAAATTGCTGTGTTGGCACTTTGCAATAAATAAGTGGGTTTTGGGTTGCAGTTTGGGCACTCGGTCTCTAAAAGGTTCACGATCACTGTTCTAGCACATATATTTGTAATATCTTAGAAAGAGCAATGCTTCTTTCATTGAAGCCCACTATACATTCTTTACGACAAAATAATCCAGACTGAAGCTCACCCACATTGGTTAGTTGCATCATTTTCAGCAACTCTTACTTTTTGCTTGTTTGGTTTGGTTTGGTCTGGTTTCCCAAATTATGAAACTGGAAATTTCAGGGTTCATTTTTCTAAATCTTGTGATATACAATACATGGAATTTGAATAATTTAACATAGTTCACATAAACTATTAAGCTTATGAGAAGTTTGCTGCAACAATGCAAACAATGTGCTGAATAGTTTGTGACCCCAGTTGTTAATCTCATTATATCGTGCTCATAAAATTACAATTTGTGCAGTGAAGTTATATAAATCCATATTTAGGTATACATATTGTACATATAACTGGATATACAGGTAGTCATTGCTTAATGATCACAATTGGGGCAGAAAATCTGTTGCCTAGCGAAATATCACATGATTTTGATAGACTTATGACCTCATTTCCACTGAGGTTGTTAAGCAAATTAGCCCCAGTGTATGTGAGATATCATATGACCATGACTTGCAATTTTATTGCTGGCTTCTCTATTGACTCTGCTTGTCAGAAGCCTGCTGTGGTACATACAAATGGTAAGCATGTGACTACTGGGATACTTTAACAGTTGTAAATGCAAGGACCAATCGTAATGTTAATTTTTTAGCATCTTTGTAACTTTAAACCACGGCTAAACAGACCAGCCATTAAGTGAAGTCTACCTGTACATGTACAGAACCATTTTAGTGTACTGAGTAAAGGCATCAGGCTAGAAACCAGGAGATTGTGGGGAATGAATGAACCTTAGAAATGAAGCCAGCTGAGTGATCTTGGGCCAGTCATTCTCTCTCAGTCCTAGGAAGTAGGCAATGACAAACCACTTCTGAAATCTTCTGCAGGGACTTGTCAGGCAGTTTTGCTATGAGTCAACTATGACTCCAAGGCACACAAAAATTGTGCAAAATCAAGGCCACTGGTTACCTGGAAGTTATAAATGTCTCATGTTTGTGTTTGCCAAGTTTAAAGCCTTTTGTGGTTTTGGTCAGACCAGGAGAAGAAGGCTCTGTAACAAACGACCTGTCTAGCTCTGCTTGCAGATCAAAGTCACTACATCCTTTTTCCGACAGTTCAATTAAGTCAACTTTCACCTACAAGAATGAGAAAATATTCCATTTTAGTAAATCCATGAGTAACATACTAATACTCAATATAATTAGAATGGAAAATATTCTACACTACACAATAGAAAAAGAAGAAGACTTAATAGAGTGGTGATGTGAATCCAAATCTCCTGATCAGTCTTTTCCTTTAGAAACTATGCTATAGTAACATGCAGATTAGATGGAAATTATCTGCAGACATAACTCCTCCAGAATTATTAGTCAACTGCTCGAGGAATGTGTATTAAAGGCGTTCTTTAAAATAAAAGCTTTTCATTTACTTCATTTATTAAAATCAAGGTATTTCAAATTCAAAGCACTCTGCAGAATGTACCATTCAGATCTGGCACTGACTGGACAGATTTTCAAACCTGATTATTGACCACAAGAATGTAGAAACAACAGCATCAACTGAAAGACATAGAACTTAAATTTAATAGTGTCACAAATTGTAGCAAGTCTCTGTAGCTAAATCCCTCTTTGTCAGCTTTATCAAATCAAAGGGGTTTGTGCAAAGTAATACCGTAATCCGCTATTATTATCAGCTCTGTTCCCAGGCTGACCAAATACATAAAATACTATGTCTAGGATCAAAAGTAGAAAAAGGTCACATGTACTAAAAAAAATGAACCCTAGTCAAAGAAGATTTCTATAGCATCTAGTAAATTGTTTGTCAGTCCAAAGGGAATTTCAAAAAGATGCTAAAATGTGTAATTCAGGATGGGAGAGAGGAAGTTGATCTGAAAAATCAAAATATAAAATTGTACTGGATAACCCTAAGTGCTAGCAAGCTTAACATAGGAGTCTGAATTCAATACTGTATTACTCACAGAGTTGAAAAATATTCCCCAAAATTACTTTTTAAGTATTTACCATGTCAAGATCAGTTTCAATTTCTTCAGCCTGGAATGGTAAGAACCACATAGACTTCAACTGGTCATCTATCACGTCTGCCAAGATGTACATAGTCCTGTAAGGAAAAACACAGCTTTTATTATTGGTCAATATTGGTTGACACCTTAGGAATAAGTTGAGGTTACTAAAATTCACCAAAACTCTTTCATTTCTTTCCTCAAACCATTATTTACTAAATCTTTTCCTAATACCAAATTCCAGTTATCCTGCCAAAAATCTTCTTGTAGCCCATATTGTTACATCTTTATGAAGACCCATTCTAACTAAAGATAAAAGGACAGCCCTTTACTAATACAAACTGTTGCCATTTTCTCATTCAGTTGCAACTATTAGGTTTTATTATTTTAAAACTGTATCACATTATTTTAACTGCCAAAAGTTATACCTCAATACATGGTATAATATTAAAAAAAATGTAAAGTAAAAAGGAACAGATAGAACACTAGAAGCAAACGTATACTTGTTTGATATGCAATTCTGGAAGAAAATTAACAGAAAGGAGGAAAAGATTGGTCTCCATGTTTTACAGAGAAAGAAAATGAATAATTTACTATAATAAATATAATATTAAGAATTATAAAATAGTACTGAGGAATTTCTACTTTGCTCCACAATGAACGAAAACTCATTTATTTAAATGAGATCCAAATATACCAATTCCATATATTATAGTTCTCTTGTCCACATAAATGTCTTTTTGTTACTTTACCTATTATTAAACAGATGTTGCAGAGATTCTGGAGCAGGCAAAATTGGTTCCACATCTTGATCACTTAGAGGACAAGCCTCTCCAGCAGATTCCAACATCTGCCTAAGTCCAACAACATTATCCAGTAATGATTCCAGGCTCTCGTCTTCCTTAGAACACTCCTAGATAAGAAATGCTACAGTCATCAATCATATAAAATCTAGCATTCTGGACAATTAACAAGATATACAGAGAATTTCACCAGAATATATTTATTTTGGATTCCCATTAGAGATGATGCACTAACAACACAATTATAAGCAGTTGTATATATACATTGCTTACTGGTGTACACCGCTTAGAGAGTGCTTGCACTTAAAGCGGTATATAAGTCTCACAAATAAATAAATAAATAAATAAATAAATAAATAAATAAATAAATGTAATGCAGCAAAAGGTGGCACTTTAAAGGTGAACAGATTTATTAAAAATTAATTTGTGTATACTAGACGCCATTTCATCTGATATAGCATACAAATATTGTTGGCAGGTTATGTAAAATCAAGAAGATGTGTAGACAACAAGACCAAATAACCATAAAATCTGATAGATGCAGGCAGGCAGAGAATTCTGTGAAAAGCTAAATGAATGCAGGTTGGCAACCATGATCAAGAAAATCAGAATAACTGTGTTTATCATCCAAAAATGTGATAAAATTAATCTTATATTTCTCTCATTAGCTACAGTAACTATTCAACCTGAATAATGCACACACAATAAAGGTAGTCCTTGACTTACAACAGTTCATTTAGTGACCATTCACAGTTGCAACATCCCTGAAAAAAGTGACTTATGACCATTTTTCACACTTATGACCGTTGCAGCATCCCCATGGTCACATGATCAAAATTTAGACAGTTGGCAACTGACTCACATTTATGATGATTGCAGTATCCTGGGATCATGTGATCATCTTTTGTGACCTTCTGACAAGCAAAGTCAATGGGGTAAACCGGATTCACTTAGCAGTCATGTAACTAACATAATAACTGCCATGATTCACTTAACAACTGTGGCAAGAGAAGTCACAAAATGGGGCAAAAATCACTTTAAAATGTCTCACTTAACAACATACATTTTGGACTCAATTGTAGTCATAAGTCGAGGACTCCCTGTATTCAACATTACTACCGTATAAGTTTTCACTTATATTAAATCAATATATTAGTTTTTAGTGAAATTTACACTACCAAAACCAGTTTCTCCAGTTCAAGGAGCAGGTTTTCAGGAGTCTCTTCTTTGGTCTGCAACTGATACTTTAATTCTGCAGTACTAAGACCCAGGGTTCTGGTGGGATGACTTCCATCTACTTCCGCAAGACTCCCATCATCCCCACAACATCCCTGTGGAACATGAATAAGTATCTAGATGAAAAACTACTGCAAAAGGTATAAATAGTCATGTTATATGTAACATAATGTTGCCAATAGAGGACACATAAAATAAACAAATTCAAAAATCTTTATAACAGCTGTAAAATATAGCTTTGTGAACACTTGTTTTCATCAAAAAGAATGCACTAATTTGTTATAGAAATGGCTAAGTTATATATTAAGAATGCAAAAGTAAAAAGTTGATATTATTTCAATCTTACTGCTCTGAAGGGTCAGATGTTAATGCTTTTATTTTTCCCCCTTTGTCCTACAGTTCTCCTTTTTCCCCATTTCCCATTTTCCCTCTATTTTCATTTTCATTTGTATTTTATACTTTGATTAATTAAATAAAAATTATATTTAAAAAAAGAAGTATACACTCATTCTGTTCTTTAAGATGAACCTCCTTTTAATACTAAATAGATCAATATGAGATGTCTTTCCTTTTCAATATCCATGTGGAAACATACTTATAGAATATACATCGAAGGGATTTTGCAAAACACTTTTTTATACTTGTAGATCCATCATATGAAGCTCTTTTACAAAACCATATTGTTGACTATGTGATCATACGTAATTGTTCTTAGAACTTTTTACTTCTCTATAATGAACATAATTATGAGGATTTTCAACGTTCTGAGAATAGTGATTTGAATTACTTGATGAATTAAGTGTATTTATTAAGCAACTTTGAGTGGTTCACAAAGTAAGAAAAAATAATAATCGAACCACATAACAATACAGTAACATTAAAAATAAATGAATATAAAGATGGCAAAACCAAGCAACAAGAAAAACATGCAAACACTACTCAAAAGGAGCTTCAACCACCCTACCTAAAAGTCTGGAAACATTCCCTCACTGAAAACCATCTGATATTCCTATTATTTTACGTTTTATTATTTGTTGCTTTGATGGAATTATCATGGAGGATTTTAAAAAAAAATAGGAGATAAACCTGGCATATTTTAGCAATAGAAAAGCAAGATATAAAACTTCTTCAATGACACAACCTTAAAATCAATACTAACAAACTAAACTGACACTTTGTTTAGAAAGCATCTTAACTATTTAGAATAGCACAGTAGTCTTACTTCAAAGATATTTTGCTAAATTGCAGTATAACAGCCACATTGCTGAAAAATGTTAGCTTGTATTGACTTACCAAAGGATCAGAATTTAGTATCTGTCTCATGAAATCCAGAAAGGAAGAGGCAAGTTCTCCTGTGTCTTTACTGAAGCTGCTCACTATTCTCTTCAATACTGTTTGCAGAGCATCACAGTGTTTTGCAAGAGAACTAAGATTGTTTCAAAAAGAAATGTTTTACTTTACCTACTGAATTTAATGTAGCACATAAGCGATCAAGAGACTAAAAAGCAACTAGTTCATGTCTTCATAAATGAGTATTGTTAGACTTTGCTAAATGTGAAGTAATTTCATCATACTTGATATTTTTAGGTATAGCAAAGTCTCAGTTGACTACAATACTTTTAGATTAGTCAGCCAACTGCAACACCTAAACTACACACAAAAAAGAAATACCTTTTAATTGCAGAAGTGATAAAACAGAATCTGTCATCTATGAGGCAATTCTTATTCCTTCATTTGCACAAGAGATCTCTTCTAAAATAATTGCCATAGCAACTGATAGACAAACAAGCCTCTATCAATACTCTCTAGAAGGCTGACTGCAATTCTTATTATTGAGGAATGTTCTTATCTCGTTTCTTTTAATATAACACTGAAACCAAATACCAGCAAAAATAAAAATAAAAAATAACAGAGTTGGAAGGGACCTTAGAGGTCTTCTAGTCCAACCCCCTTCTCAAGCAGGAGACCCTATACCAGAGGTAGGCAACCTTGGCTCTTTTATGACTTGTGGACTTCAACTCCCATGGCTGGCTCAGGAATTCTGGGAGTTGAAGTCTACAAATCATAAAAGAGCCAAGGTTGCCTACCCCTGCCCTGTACCATTCCAGACAAGTGGCTGTCCAGTCTCTTCTTAAAAGCCTCCAGTGATGGAGCACCCCCATGAAGCATGATGAAGCATGACATCACTGGAACCAACCCACAATCTTTCCATATTAACTATTACAAATGGGTTCATCCACCTCCGTGGCCCAATGCGGGGAGAAAAGAAGACCGCAGGATGCAGAATACTTTATTCTCTTTATAAATCTGCAAACAGATGCAAATGTGATGACATCATTGAACAAAGCACATGCAGTCAACTAGTTTTGTAATCCTAATTATCACCTCTGGGACAGAATTTATACATCACCTTCCAAGCTCAACTTCCAGAATTTCAGTGAAGAATTTTACTGGAAAATTCATCTTAAATTTTGAATGTAAGAAACAGGACATAAACAGTATTGAAAGATACGATGCTCACTTTAGGAAGCTAATTTTTCAGGTACTAATTTTCACTGTAACTTTTTCTTGACATTGAACCGATGTGCCTAATCTCCACTGAAAATGAATGGGAACTGCACAAAATTCACATGTACTTTTAGAAAGATTTGAAATGGGGAAATCATACCTTTTCAGATGATAGAATCCATAATCGTGCTCTGTAAGGAACATCATTGTCCTGATACAAGTCAGCAAGCAGGTATAGCTGCTTTCAGCATTAATAATTGTTTCTATCAGGCAGTCACAGATGGAAGCCATGAGTTCTTTGCCTGGCAATGAATTGGAAAGCTGCTCCAACTCAGAAAGAGTACTTTCTGAGGAACTGGGCAAGATCAGGGCAATGTCCTGTAAAAAGATAATAATAATCAATGCATTATTGCAGACATGTCAAACTGGCAACATCATGTGACGTCGCACAACATATCGGGCCAGTTTTTCCATTGCCGGCAATGGGGTGGGCACGGCTTACATGTGACGTGTCCAGCCCGTGGGCCGGCAGTTTGACACCCCTGCATTACTGAAAGGCAGGGGCATATTTTATAATTATGGCACTGCAAGCAATAGCTGGGACTCAAAGAACTAATTTAGAATGTGCCTTGGTCCAGGGAGAAAAGCTTCAAAGATTTTCTCTTTTTCAAATAACAGACCAACACAACATATTACAAAAGATATCTGAGATTCCCTACAGTGTAGTAATGTTAGTGGCACAGAAAGCAGATTTATTGCTCACAATAATTAACTGACTAATAGGTAACTCCTTTAGGTCGGTGGGCACATTGGGGATTTTGAGAGCATGTTGTATATATTCTTATAAAATGGCAACATAATGAAAACCGCTAGTCATAAAATGCCAATTTAAAGCTACAATAAAGGTTATTCTTTGACATCTACTCTACTGCTTATTTCTAGGCATCCTATTAGGTCAGGGGTTCCCAACCTGAGGTGCTCGCACCCCCTGGAGGTGTGAGATGATATTCCAGGGGGTGCAAAAACTTGGGTTTTCAAAATTATAGTGTATATGTATAATTTGTTGCCATTTTTTTCGAACTTTTGTAAGGGATGCGAGAATATATCAGAAGCATTCTAAGGGTGCGGGGTATAGAAAAGGTTGGGAGCCGCTGTATTAGGTAATACCAATCTGCTACATTATTACAGAAATCTTAAGAGTAGCCAACTTGCTTTAAAAGCATAACAACAGATTATTCAACATATTGCCTTAGAATTTATTCACTTTTTGTAAATTTGTAACATTTGTCTGTGATCAGAAATAAAGAAGTTTGCTTTTCTCAGCAGATGAACATGCTTTCAATATGCTGGATTCAACTACCTAGCCTTTTTAACTTTCAAAGAATACCTGTGTATTCTATAGTTTGGGGGACTTGGAATATCTAGTGTTGGAAGTCTGGCATGTATCAACGTAACTATCTGTAAGCATAACAACCTCTGGGAATCAGTTGCCTACTGCTGCATTATTTCCAATGCAAAGTTTTCTAAAGAGGGAAGTCTTTTGAATCTTGACTAGTGAACTTAAGAATGACTATTATATTCAACATTAGATGTTTTTTTTCTAAGGGAATGCTCATTTAGAACTATTATTTGCACAGAAGCAGAAATTGAGGTTTAATTCAGAAAGTTCAGCAAAACTAAGCACGCCATCTAAAAGTAAAATTAAAATAAGCAAAATAATAGAATACAAAATTCTAATTACTGTAAAATTTCAAACAGAGGAAAATTAAAAAAACAAATATTAATATATACAAATTTACCATATTAGGAATTAGGACATCTTCAACACATAAACAAATTATTACAATACAACTATTACAAAACCCTGCAGTAAACTGCAGATCTTTATAATTCATTCTGTTGATCTGTTCATGTGGTAAATTACTTGGGGATCATTAATCTGAAATATCAGCATTTAGTATTGGGAAAGTATCCAATGGAGGAAATCACAAAAAAACAAACCCATAATGTAAATACGCATATGTTGGTTGCACTACCATAGCACAGCAGACAAGATTCTGAATCTGTTCTGATATAAGGCACAACTATTTCCAAAAAAAGAATATCTTTAGAAGTAGTCCTAAGGACCGGAATTGGTGACCAACAACTCCATCACTAAACAAGACATAATGTAACTGTAACACATGACCACAACTTTTGGTTTTACTGCTGGCTACTCCACTGATTCTATTTGTTGGAACCTGGCTGTGAAGCACACAAATTGTGATCATATGACCACAGGATGCTGCAATGGTCATAAATATGAGGACCAGTCATAAAGTTATATTTTTTCAGCCCTTATAACTTCTGCGGTCGCTAAACAGAACAATGGTTAAGCAAGGACTACCTACAGTCCACTATTTCACAGCCTACGAATGCATTACAGTACATTCATGTATCTAAGTGTGTGAAGATGTAACCACGGGAACACATAAAGAATGAAGAAAATTAAATTAAATTCTTATTTAGATTTTCCATTTTAAATACCTGGTCACAGAAGGACTGTAAAATAGAAGCTAAGTATTCTGAACATTGCTGATGAATGATATTTTCCCCTGCAGTTTGCATCAAAGTCAAAAGTTCTAGGAAAACTTCGGTGTATTTTTCATCGCCTTTAGCAGTTCCATTAATCAGGTGCAAAATGGCCAATTTACAAGCTTTGTGCGAAGCCAGAGCATCAAATAAAGCAAGCAAGCGAGTGGTCTGACCAGTGTATTGTTTCTCCTTATCTTCTGGGTTGCTGAAATGATGAGAAATTTCTTTATTAGGATGATAGCACACTAGATAGAAATGTAAAACGAAACAAACATGTTTGAATATTTCCATTCACCCCTATAGATATATAGATATATACAGTACATATATACATATATACATATATAAAAATATATGTAAACAATGTTCATTTCTACACAAATGTAAACTGCCACCTATCTGAAAAGTTACCAGCGTGAGGGATTATTACCATAGCTACAAGGGTAATAATAATGTTAGTGGTATTTAAGTGACTTGAATGAAAACAAATATTCAGGAGATGGAAGCAAATTCTGGAGGACTTTTTCCGGCTTCACCCACTTCTCTGTACTAATCTTCTAACTTCTAACTGTTCTAGAATTATAAAGAAATGAAATATGTTTTGATGTGTAGTTTCCTAACACTTGACACGCTATTCAAAGATCAAACCTGGTTCTTGCCCCCAACCCCACAATACACACTGGTGCAACAGAAGGCATAGGGTCAAAAGCAATTGATTAAGTGTTGAATAAGATAGGAAAGGAGAATGCACAGGACCTCTTACATCTACATTCAAGTGTGAGAAGGCAAAATTGTAACCAATGAGATCAACTTCTCTATTTTTGACAAATCATTAAACAAATTATTAGACAATAATTGTCTTGTTTAGGCAATATTAAATAAGACATTGAAATGTACCTTTGAAGATCTTCTACAAGTAGATCTAAGACAGTTCTCATAATAAGGAGAGCCGTTGGTGAGGCCAAGTCACACAACTGTACACAAATGCGCCTTAGCATATGCTGAATGGGCTGGCAAGTGGAACCAGAAAAGGATCGTACTATTTCTTGCAGTAATTTTGCCTGGACATGAAGATGCATGCTCCAAAGTTTTCTAGTATTGAGAGCTACTGCTAAGTCATGTGGTTCAATAACCTATGGAAAACAAAATAATCCTTAGAAATGCACAATAATCATTGCTATTCTCTACTCTGGAATTTCATAGAAAATGTATTGCCAAGGAGAGTATGTCAACTGGAATTCATATTCAAAATTATTCCCACAAAACAGCCCTATAGAGGCACATAAATGGAAACAAGTTTGCACAGCCAGGTGCTGCATACAAATATCCCTGTGGTACCTGGCCCTATGTTTTCCTTGGTTCTCCAGACTATATTTTGTTTAATGATTTTAGACAGTAATAAAACCAACTTCCGCATGTAAACAATATAATTATATTAATAAAAATAAAATTCATAAATATGTTTCATAGCTCCTCAACTGTCAGATCAGCTTATTTTAAAAATCAATTGGTAGTTTTTATTTACCTGAGTGGTCTGCATAGGCAGTGGAAGAGGCAGTAGTTCTGAAAGTAATATAAGGCCAGAGAAAAATCCTTCTGGAATTCTTAGAACAGAAGTAAGAACCTCTCTTAGCATTAGTGACCAAGTATTATTGGCTAGAGTTTCTTCGGAGATAGTTAATTTCTCATTAACACCCTGGGTGAAAGTCAACAAGATATCAACAATATCATTCTGGATTTTCTGTTCATCACTGTCCAAACGCCCAGAGAGTGTTATAGAACATAAAAGCATGTGTAAAGAAATAAGTGCTGAAGGAACACGCATATCTTTAAATTCAAAGGATCCTCCCCGTAGCAATTCAGTCAACATGGTCTTCAAAAGTGTGAGAGTACATCGGGCCATAGAGATTGTAGTGACTCTGTGAAGAGTTGTTCCCATGTTGACATGGAGTCTCCAGGGCTGAATAAGAATGCTGTTTAGTTTTTGCAGAATTCTGATAAAAGTGTCCATTCCTTCAGAAGAGAAGAGCTGAATAACTGCAAGGTTCCATTTAAGGTCCTTCTGCTGACCTATATGAATGATAGGAGAAATATTATATAGTCTTTATATTTCATTCTCTATTTTATTATTAAGTATAGGTAGTCCTTGACTAACAAGAGTTCATTTAGTCACCATTCAAAGTTACAGCGGCAATGAAAAAATGTGACTTATGACAGTTTTTCACACTTATGACCATTGCAGCATCCCCATGGTCAAATGATCAAAATTCAGATGCTTGGCAACTGACTCATATTTATGATGGTTGCAGTGTCCCAAGGTCATGTGATCAGCTTCTGCGACCTTCTGACAAGCAAAGTCAATGGGAAAGCCAGATTCACTTAACAACTGTGTTACTAACTTAACTGCAATGATTCACTTAACAACAGTGGCAAGAAAGGTCGTAAAATGGGGCAAAACTCACTTAGCAAATGTTTCACTTAGCAATATACATTTTGGGCTCAATTGTGGTCGTTAAGTCGTGGACTACCTGTAATATAAATTGGATGCAATGATTCTGTTGGTGACCAAAGGTAAATATTTTTACATACTTCTTTCACACAGTAAAAATGAACTGAGAATTACTCCAGTGTGTGTATATGATCAATATACATATCCAAAGAACAATATATTCTAGAATGTTTGTGAGTATGATTTAATACAAATACATTCTACTGAATGAGAACTAAGAAGTTAAATATTGTTACCTTCAACCGGAGGTGGAGGACATGCAATATGACACAAGACACGAAGTGCTGTAGGGAGACCAACTCCTTCCTGAGTCATCAAGCTATCAATGTTCTTTGAAATAAAGAAGTAGATAATGATTTAAAAATATTCAAAAGGGATATATCTGATTTAACAGACAACATTGCTTCTGCACAAACAATAGAGAGATCAATTTGATTTTTGTACACAACCAAGAGAGTTACGCAAAAGCCAGTTCCCATTTTGACTAATAGTGTAGATTTTAGGACTTGAAGTTCACTTATACAGAAAGCACAGGGATATGGAAAGCCTGACTTATGTAACTCACCAGCAACTATTCAGCAGTCTAGCAATGGATTTGGTTCAAGATTTGGTCCTTCCTTATTACGCAATAAGCTTTGTTTTTAAAAGAGAACAATTTGTATGTGTTCTGTTAGGTCGCTATTCCAATATTTAAAATATTTGGATACCAAATTAAATGTTAGCATATATTTGTTTCACGAATATTTAAGTAAAACTGTAAATAGAATAAAGGGGGCTAAGGTAGGAGGACCAGTCTAGATCCCAATAAAGGAGAATATTTGTAGCTCAGGACTGAAATGAGGGACTAATCTAGAGTTTTAAGCAACTCAAAGTGAACAGCTATCATAGGATTGCCAATCCAATTTTTCCCTTCCCAAAACATTTTAATTTATCAGCATGTCTACTTTCAACATAATCTGAACTAAAATTAACTTCAAAATACATTTGTTCAAAAAGATGAGTAGTTTGCTATTCTAATAAGTCATATTTATTTTTACTTTTTATTTATTAAATGTACATGCCATTCATCTCACTGTCCAAGGATGGCAATGTAAAGGAAACCATGTAAAAACTACACATTTGTTATATAGAACAGCAAAAATGCACTCCCCCATATGCTTTTACTTATTTATTTTACTGACCTGTTTAATATATTCAATGAGATTTGGGATGCAATTAATTTCAAATCGGACTGTTTTCAATGGCTCCAACCATTTACTAAGTTCTAAAAACAAACAAGATCATTTGATGAATGTTATATGATGCGTTCAAAAAAATGTGAAAACAATTAGAGTGGTTTTGATTATAAAACACTGAATCTTAACAATGGAGACATACTTTGTCACATACGCACACTAGCAACATAGTATTCATTTTTAACCAAAAGTATAAGAAATTTTTATACAATTTTATAATCCAGTTTGAATATTTCCCATTATTTTTTCTTACAATTCTGTATTCAAGATAATAATAAATAATGTAGTAAAATAATAAATAATATAGTAAAAGTATATGCTGCCAAATTACAAACTCTAGATCAGTGGTTCTCAACCTGTGGGTCGGGACCCCATTTGGGGTCGAACGACCATTTCACGGGGGTCGCCAAACAACGCAGTCTGCCATTTTTTTCCCCCTTTTCCTTAGCTGTGCTACTCTCTTTTATTCTATTGGCTTTTGAAAGCCAATAGAATAGACTCTCTTGAATAGAGTCTAATTCTATTGGCTTTCAAAAGCCAATAGGAATTGTCCAGGCTGTCTCTGCCCTGCTGAGCCTGCCAAAAGTCCCATTCTGCAAACTGCTGCACCAGTTAAATAGTCCTCGACTTACGACCAGTTGAGTAGTCCTTGACTTACGACCGGTTGGGGGTCGCGGCATTAAAAAGGTTGAAAACCACTGCTCTAGATAGTTTACAATTATGAAAAACATTTGAAAAAAAGAATATAAAAAGCACAAAAAACAGCACCAGACAAAAAAATAACAGTTGCAAACCCTCCAAGCCCAGAGGGGAACAAAAAGGTAGGAAGGGATGTCAGTTGTTCTCCCAAAGGCCTGGGCAAGATCTTTAAGGCCTTCTTAAAGTTCATATACAGTACAAAGGAACATATCAATGTTAAGGAAATATTTGGCTTATTTATCATACGTAAAGACTGGTTAATCTGACAGCCAAAAGAAAGCCATCTTACTACATGATCAGTGAGATAGCATCTGTTGTGGTATTTGCTTCCTGATCTGTCCATATCAAAAGGCTGGCAAAGACACACTTTTCTTGCTTTCTCCCAAGGACCATGCACTGAGGCCTTGAGCTCTGCTTGCATACAAATCAAATGCCATTTCTAAGCATGCAGCCTTGGTAGCTGTGAACTTTACTACCTAGCAGCCCAAATGTGACTTTCAAGATTGGCTGGTTATATTGCTTGATATTATAGATGCCAATGTGGATTACAAGCACTATTTATAACTTATCTAGATTACAGATAACATCCATTACCTTCCCACCAGGAAGATAGCATCACAAACTCTAAAAATTGAATAATCCACAACAAAAGCCCTCTGTTCCCTGAAAGAGTATTTTTAGGACTAGAGCATATTGGTTCCCTCACCCAAGAACTGAATTATAAATGTATCATTGAAATCATATCTTCCTTCCCCAAGACTCTCATTCTTCCTGACAACAAATCAATGTTGTTCTGAGGTAGTACATACCAGAAGAACCAGACTGTATACATCTAAACATCTCCAGTCCAGCCAGTTTGCATTCAAAAGATTGGACCTTTTCCTGACAAACAGGATTGTTGGCACACACTCCCAGTTTATTCCTAACAGATATCTCCACTAAACTTGATATGTAAAGTTTTAGAAAATAATAAATCAGAAATATTGTTTTTTCTATCTAGATGAATTTCACAGCAGAAGGAAAAACTACTCCGTACAACTCTGAGACTTCTTATTCATATTGTATTCAAAAGCATCTTTCCACCAATGAAGTATAAGGCACATAAACCACCAACCTAGATGATTAATGAAATACCTTAAGCAGCTACGGAAACTGGGCAGTATTAAAAGTTACAGTAATTAATACAAATAAAATTAAGAAACTTTTAAATATTATACTTTAAAGGAAACAAAATGCCTGAAAGTACACTTAATGTATGAAAGAAATCAGATGTATCTATCAGGATTGTCTTTTCCACTCAGTAACAGACTACACACTACTTTTGACAGCACTTTTGATATTAAAACAAATCAAATTTATAATGTTGGGAAACAGCAGGTGATAACTATTAAAGGAACAGAAATCCCAATATTGTTTGGAAATCTAGAATGTAGGACCAGCCTACTTCATTTTGAAGCTGTACAGCAGTGAGTGATGTGGAAACAAGAGTTGATTTAAAGAATCTAAGTGATTCATCATTACAGAATATGAGTCTCAATATTTCTTTTAAATTATTTTATGATATCTGTTCATGAATAGTATATTACATTGTTTATAAACCAATTTTATAAGTCTGCTAAAGAACCTAGCAATCTTAATATATACAATAGCAATAGTGAAACAGAATATCAGAAATATTTCTCCTACATCATTTAAAACATTGGCCAACATTGGCCAACAATAACAAACACCGTACCTTGTAATTTGGTATTATTTTCATCAGCTTTGCAAAGCTTCAACAGGGGTGCTGAGTACAGCTCAAGCATCTGGACATCACTTGAAGACTGTACCACCAGTAGAACAAGGATGCAGGCATAATTGTACGCAACTGACTTTTTTGATTTGGAATCACTGAAATGTAAGTTTAAAAAAAACACCTAGAGCTTACTAATTTACTTCATATTACTTCATTTCATATTTTAGTCTTCATACTAAGCATAAAACCCAGAGATTAAGTTTCCATCACTGGCTTCCCACCCTCCAGAGATTTAGAGGACACATGGAAATCGCAGAAGAAGGAAAAGTAACTGTGCAAGAGGATTCCCACCTGCTCACCATAGGATTCCATCTTACAGTATATTAAACATCAGAGACCAATATAGTTATCATTAAAGTTGAAAGAGATTTTTATCAAGCCATCCTGTTCTTTCATAATCCTTCCACTTTTAAAATGTATTATACTCCATATGGAGAAAAGTAATTAAAAGCAAACAATAATCTTTAGAATAAAAAATTAATAAAAAACAGTATTATTCTGAACTCAGTTGACATTTCAATCGATCCCGTTACAGATAGTCCGCGAGTTATGATTGTAATTTGACTTAAAATTACCATCACTAAGCACAGTGGTTCTAAATCAAGTCATATGATTGCATTGCTTAGTGCAGCAGCTCCCAACCTTTTCTATAACCCGCACCCCTAGAATGCTTCCGATATATTCTCGCACCCCTTACAAAAATTTGAAATAACAGCAACAAACTATGCTTATACACTATAATTTTGAAAACCCAAGTTTTCGCACCCCCTAGAATATTGTCTCATACTCCCAGGGGGTGCAACTACCCCAATTGGGAGCCCCTGGCTTAGTGACAACAATCCAGGCAACCCTGGTTGATGTCATGACTCCAGTTGCACAGGGTCATTAAGTAGAAAGGAGGAGGAGTCTCATGTAAAGAGTATGGGGGTAAGGTGGAGGAGGCCTTGGGTAGCTCAGTGCAGGCTATGCACAAGTTGGGGGAGGAAGGTGTTGCAGTTTGGCTCAAGCTTAGGGAGACTGGGGAAAGAGGGTGCAGGGTGTGTACAAGCACAGGGAGGCGGGAAAAGAGAGCACAGCGTGCATGCAAGAGAAGGGCAAAACGACAACACATGAGCAAAGAAAGTCTGGGAGTGGGAGAGACTTGTATCCTCTCCTAAGGCCTTCCCCATTGACTTTGCTTGTGCGAAGCCTGCAGGGAAGCTCACAAATGGTGACTATGTGACCATGGGATATTGCAACCAGTTTATGTGTAAACTGTTTCCCGAGTACTCAAATTTTGTTCACATGACTGCAGGAGTGCTGCAATGACCAGAACTCCTGAAGACCAGTCTTTAAGTCCCTTTGTTCAGTGCCATCGCAATTTTGAATGGTCGCTGAATGAATGGCCGTAACCTGAGGACTACCTGCACAGGAGCCTACAGAGACGTTACTTAATGTCCAACACTTAGTGATAAAACCAGTCACTCTCTCCCCAGACTCCCCCTCACAAGAATGCATCTGTGGAACAAGTAGAAAGCAGCAGCATTATGTACACTTTCTTGAGCTACACAAAACAAAGACAGAATAGATATAAACCTAATAATAAATCATTACCCTAATGCTTCTTTGGAATAGAACTCCATTAAAGTAATAAAGCTCTGGAGATTCTTCTCAAGGCTGAAGACATGGGCAACAGCAGCTCTTCCTACTGGGTTAAAAGTGATCAAGTAAAGATTATGAAGTGTTCCCAGGAGATCTGAATGGTCAGTTTCATCAGTGACTATGCAATGCTGGAAGTGGCTGAACAGTTCTGAAATGCACTGCAGTGTCTGAGTCGAATGAAGAAGCCATAAGGGAAATGCTTCATCGCCTGCCCCATCTGTTTGCAGACCTTCTTCTTGATCGAGATCCGAAAACTGACAAAATGCTCGAACCAACAAATTGGTGGCTTCATATTCAGAGAGGAAAAAAAGGAGACCTTTCTGTGACTGTGCTAAAAATCTCAGAATATCTCTGACAGACTGAAGCACTCCATGATGCACATTTGTTATTGGATTAGACAATAGCAAAGTGACAGACTCCAAAAAATTGTGATTGTGGAGATACCTGAAGAAATGAAAATAGAAAGATAAACAATATTATATTGAAATAATATCTATCCACTACCTTTTCCCATAAGATAGCTAAACTGCAATGTCAATATATTTGTATTACAAGGCACCGTTGTGGTTTGGAATAGAAGGCAAATCCCACAAATGCAAAGTGGGATTAATTAATATCACATTAATTAATGTCACCAATATTAAAAGCAAAACTGATATCTATCTTCATTGGAGAAAGCAATTATGTTTGAAAGCGTTAGAGGTAAAAGGAAAGCAGAGAACACAGTGGCTGGACACCACCAAAGCTGACACCAGCCAGAGTATAGAACAACTCAAAGTAGTAATGAAAAATCGGAAGATGTGGAGAGACATAGCCCATAGAGTTGCCTAGAATCAGACACGACTGAAGGAATAACAGCATCAACATCATCATCATGATATTCATCTAAGCCTGGATTTAATTTCAATAGATCTATATCTGTTTTTATATTTTCGCATTAAAAAACATAAAAACATTATTTAATTTTTTACTGATTGCTATATATTTATTCAATCCAAGAAATCAAGAATATTTGTTAAAACGTTAATTAAGGATTTTGCAAATCAGATGACCTCAAATGTCCCTACAAACTTACATTAATGGAGCAGATGGTTAATTATTACTATTTTTATCAATATAAGCAGAAAGCACCACCACAGTAACAAAGAGATTACTACAATTTTCAAGGACTACAAAGTGGAAATACTGTAGGATTTTCAGGGAGTAGATTATACACAATTTAGAGAACGGAATCTTCTCTTATAAACCTGAAGAACTCAGAATAGTATATTGGTTAGCAAGTATTAAGGACTTGCGAATTACCTATTGATATTACCTAGTCTTCAATTCTAAGTAAACATTTGAGTAACTCAAATCTTATTAATTTAAATGGGGAAAGTGAGCTGACTTGATAAGGAAAATGAGAAGAAATAAACTTGGAAATGAAATGGAAATGAAAGTGGTAAAGAGATTAAAATATTTCCTCTGTTAAATCAACAATCTTTATTAAATAATGGACAGGTATTATAAGAACATATTAAATATTGGAAAAAGAAATCTGGTGATCGTCTGGAACATGTAAGCAGAAATTCCCAAACTGGGTCAGGTTTCAACTCCAATTAGCCTAGGTTTGGCTTTTAAATATTCTGTGCAGTAACAATGGAAGTCTGATGAACTTATCTTGAAGGTACCAACTAGAAAAACCAGAATAAGCATAACTAAAGCCATTTACCAAAATCAAAATACAAATATACATACCTGAACAGAACTGGAAAAGGATCGTCTCTTTCTGGAGGCCCTGTAATACGTGCTGTTGTTGGAAAAGATTTCACAGGTGGCTGCACCATAGTGTGCGGGGCCGTCTCCATCAAATGCAAAATTTCATCTAAAAGGTTAATGAGCTTTTCAATTTCTCCTTCATTCATAGTGGAGGACTCCAAAAGATTGTCCATATCCATTGGAGCATCCACGTCATTTTCATATTCCTGGTTGCCTCTTTCAGGCCCAGCATCTGGATCCTGCTCAGACTCAGAATGATTTGGAAGGGGTGGAGAATTTTCTGCTAGCTGGTCACCAATTTTTTTTACCTCCGACAGAATCTCATAGAAGTGACATTTCTGTAAAATGGCAGAACCCGCAGTGACTACCCTTACAGTCTGATCCAGGAGAATAAGTTCCAACAGTCTCTGATAGCCACTTTTTTCACTGGCCTCCAAATTATTCCTCAAAAAAACTTCCATTCCTTCAGTCATGCTAATAACACTATCCAAAGCTTTAAAAGCATTAAGTTTAAGGGAAGAGGACACATGATCCGCAAAGAGCAACTCAAATAAAGAATCAATTACTCCCCCTTGCAAGAGTGCTTCTATTCCTCGAGTTCCACATTCTGCCAGCGAAGAGACAAGTTTTGTCCCAGCTTTCAGCTGACGGACATTCAAAGCAATCGGTTGTCTCAAGGCTACTTGAAGATTTAAAGACTGCATTGTCCAGTCAACCAACTGGCTTAGGTAATCCTGGCTTGTATCCTTTAATTGCAAATAACTTAGTCCTTTGGCTACTAAACTGGGTATTTCTTCCAAAGCTGTGACCCACTTTGCACCTCTCTCCTCCTGATATAATTCAAGGAGCTCAGTTAATTTAGCAGAACTCTCTACTGCCCCACTGTTTTCCTTCTCTAGATCTTGATCTCTCATCTTGGCAATTTCCATCTCAAAAGTGGTCTTATAGGGGCAACTGAAATATAGAAGGGGTCCAAGCTCCCTATCAAAAGGATCGTAGGTTACAGGTGGCACTCTGGCTAAATCTTCAGCAGTATATTCAATGTCAAAACTTGGGTATTTAAACGTCTCTCGTTCCAAGTCAGCAATTCCATCCTCATCACTTGAAATCTGTTCATAACCATCATCTCCTGAAATGAATATGTAAAATAACCTTGTTAAAAACATGCTATAAAACTCATGTTTTAACTGTTGATTAGATAAGATAGCATATTTTCTCCCCATTCGTATGTATGTCCTCCTACACATATATACCCCCCGAAGCAATAAATAATGTATTATTAATTTTCTATTCCAAAAATGTATGTAAGTTTCAATCACATGGACCTCTAAAAAGGTGCATGTACCACACAAAAATGACTGCCAAGTAAACAAGACCAAGATCGGACTTCAAGTATTCAAACAGAAACAAAGAGAAATAACTTTGGCTAGCAACAGTTTCACATGCTTATAAGCTGCCGTTACTAACTCAAAATAGAACACAGATGCTCAAATACATATTAATATGCAAAGATAAATTCCAAGAGTCTTTGCAAAAAATATTTGAATTTACTGGCCTACAATCCCAACAGCCCTCCCAAAGATTGCAAACGATCTTTATTGCAGCCATACTGAAAAGGTTACTAAGACGTATTGAACAGCTCCCTTACTTTCTGGCCCTTGTCCAGATGGAATGCCTGTGTTTAGAGTTATTTGACTCCTATTGTATTTTTAACAGGATACGGGAAGAAAATATACTGTATAAGAAAAGATTTATTTTAAAAGAATGCAAAAATGTTGCTAATGTGAGAACATCTCATTATTAAATGTCAGAACAAGAACTAATTAGCCCTAATAGAATGACACTAACTAAAGCACTCACTACTGGGTGGAGTGAGGAAGGATATCAGTACAGCAAATAAATACCTCAATTTAAGCTTTGGAAAAATTAAATATAATTTCAAAGTATATTTGGGGCTCAATAACTCACATGTGACTGAATTATCGCAAATTATTTGATTATATATCCAATTATTCCCTTTTCACTTACAAATGTTGGCAGCCTCTCTTCTAAAAATGAATACATATTTTCATCATTTTCTAAAAATTAACCGTTAAACCTTCGTTTCTAAAATTATATGTTTTCAAAATTGGTTCTTAAATACCATAGTCTCAGCTTGCAGGTAAATCAATGATTGACAGTTAACATCAAGCAAGTATTCAATTATATGCATTGCAATATGCAAAACACTGTCAAGAAACTAAACACATTTTTGTGCATTGTGTATTTAGTTCCCTCATTTGGACATCAAAACATATATTAGTGGAGTTATTTTAGAAAGATCCAAAGCTTTTTCTCTCAGATGTGACAATAATGAGAACAGAATTTCCTCCTGGCTACCTGATATAGGCATTGGTTCATCTTCATTATCATCAGGTGGGCATAGCTGACTCAGGAATTCTGGGAGTTGAAGTCCATGAGTCATAAAAGAGCCGAGGTTGCCTACCCCTGAACTAAGCAAAACAGAATTTTCATACACTGCTAACATTGTTTCAAATACAGTGTTCTTTCAATAGGGTCAAGCCAGATATTTATTTGCGAGTCAATGCTTATCAAACAAGGACAACATAATGTATGCATGCATGAATCAACCCTAGTAGCTTTGTATTTGCCTACCTTCACCTTCTTCCTCTTCATCACCTTCTTCCTCTTCTTCCTCATCCTCATCGTCATCCTCATCTTCATCGTCATCATCATCCTCTTCATCATCCTGAATGCTATCTACTGTTTGACCATCATCATCCTCTTCTTCATCCTCTTCCTCCTCAACATCCGCACCTTCTTCATCATCATCCATTTCTTCTGCTTGTTCTTCCTCCACTTCCGCCTCATCAGAATATGGACCTTCTTGATGAATGGAAGTCCGATCAGGAGAAATGGGCTCAAAATAATCTTCTCTGTGATCAACATCATCTTCTTTTTCTCCGGCAACTGAAAATAATGACATTAATAGCAAGAAAACAAACTGAACGCTTGAGGTTTCAATACTGAAAAGTTACCTGTGATGAAAGTTAAGTAACAAAGATATATGATTTAAAGTTACATTGGAATATACTATTTCAATGCAGATACTGCACTTCCAGATTTAGTTTTACATCATGTGGATGTGGGGATGTGAAGATTTAAAAAAAAAAAGAATGTCAATTCTGTATTAAACATGGAACCATGTACTGTAAATTATTAAGTACTGTATGTGGGAAAGAAAATTCTTAACCCAATGCAGCCTGCAAAACACTCTGTCAAGAAATCAAATATATTTTGTGCATTGTATATTTGGTTCCCAAATTTGGACATCAAAACATATATTAGAAGGATCCAAAGCTTTTCCTCTTGGCTACCTGATACAGGCATCGGCTCATCTTCATCATCATCAGGAGGAGGGGGGCCAGGTGGGGTTCTTGGTCCTCTAGGTTGAGGCCGGGGAGGGCTGCCATTGAACTGTTCCTCTTTCTCTCCATCAGCTGTAAAAGATGTTTGAGCCAAAGAACAGTTATGTATTTTTTTAAATCACACTGCATGACAAACAAAGGCCACATCGTTTTTACAATTCCTTCAGTTTTCAAAGCAGTGAAAATGGACTGCTGAGAATGGGATGGGAGAAATGAAATTAAAATTGATACAAAAACAAAACCCTGTGTCTGGTATCCCGGCCCCTTAAAGATTTAAATTGGGAAGAGAATTAGCTGCCAAAATTCTGAGGTATATGCTGTATTGATACTCATATTTATGAACTTACAGAATTAATTAGTAGTACTGAAAAATACAACTGTTTTAACAAAATATGCTCGACTGCTATGAAAGATGTGCTTTTCTAACCAAAGCCTTTTTGAAGAGAGTTAAAAAGTAGAACAAAATTGCTCACCTAATTTTGGAGTTCTTTTCAAAGCTTGTTGTTGCTGAGGAGGTGGAGGAGGAGGTGGGGGAGGTGGAGGAGAGTCTCTATCATGGCTTACTACTCTATCAACAGAGCCATATATTGCCAGTGTCAAGCAATTATACCAGCCTCTTAAAACTAAGCCATCAGTGTTTACCTGTATTATTCAAAATAAAACACAGAATATAAAACATGACTTTGAATTAATGGGATCAATTTGATCTGTTCTGTTTTATGTGTATTGCTTGTTAAAAATCCTATATATATCCAAAATTCTACAGCAGTTTTGAAAATATATGCTTTTTATTTCAAATGTTTTCAGCTCTCATTACCATCTGCCTAAAACAAGAAGCACATTTTTGTCAGGAACGTCTATTAAACTAAGTATCATATAATACTATGACAAAGAATGAGGCTTAAGAAAAATATATTTGCCTCTCTTCTGAATGACTGTAGTATAATGATGCTCAACAATGCCATAAAGTACAGAGAAATCACAAATCATCATTACACGCAGCTTTTCCTACAGTTTTCAATTTCTCAAACAATTGCACCAAACCACACCGAGTTATATCTCTGATGACTGCCATATCCAAAAAATGCAAAAAAAAAAATCTCTACTCATAAGATTTAAGGCATTATGTAAACAAACAAATTTATGTATATATTTGTGTGCATATACATATGTACGCACACAAAAGCCAATTCCTAAGCTATTCAATATTCTAGAAAGGCTTCCAATGAAAAATTTAAGTTTCAGAGAGGCTCATGTGGTAGAACATATTTTTTCTGATACTCCAAAGGTTGAACAGATTGGATTAATTTGAATTACACCTGGAAACCAACTAACAATGAGAAATGTTTATAATCATTTTCTGTTAGTAACCCTTCAGCAGCCATTGAACCAACTGATAGTTTTGAGAAGACGTTGATAGGACACACTGAAAATAATCCAGTCTCTAAAGTGGTTATTAAAAAGTTACGATATTAACTGACAAGAGGGATAGCATAACAATTTACATAATATTTACCTTTGAATTGGGCCTGAAAATAATTGACGAGTTTTCATCATACTCTAGGCTGTTAAGCAAAAGAAAATTAGATATTAGATAATAAACATGCATATTTTTCTCCAACACCTTCTCTTACTAACTAGTCTTGAAATAGGAGCTTCTCACAACCTGTGCTTTTAGAATTAGGCTGACAACTATACATCTGTACACTAAATGGCAGAATGCAGGAACTCTATAAACTTTACAGGAGCTTTATAAAACTGCATTTTATTCACTTACTGTAGACTGTGTATCCCAAAGATTGCTTCTTTAAAGTTATACAATAGTACAGTTGGACAAAATTTGGCAATATGACAGCTGAGAAGACCACAGAAATTAATGGTTGCAGGAAATTGTAAGTATGCATTATTAGAATCCCTTTTAAGGAGGAATTGACAATTTTGTTTTTTATATTCCATAATTTTACAGTTTCAGGTAAAATTTATTCAGTGTTTTATGAAGGAATGTTCTTAGCACTTACCTTCCTAGCCTGTCAAATACAGGTGCACTTGGTTTGCTGACATTGTTGAAAAACAGGTCTAACTGAAATGTATGGGGAGATGTCTCACTGGGAAAAGAGCCAAAATGAAAAAAAAAATTTTTTTTTTAACCAAATTATGATTAATGAGCAAGTCAAGCCTTGAAAGACTGCTCATCAATCTGCAGGAAGATAAAAAATTCCCAATTATTAAAAATAGTCAATATTTACATTAATAAACTCTTATTTCATATTTTTTATAAGATACAGTCCATATTTTTCTCAAATATTCTTATGAGCGGAATGTCAATTGTAAGTTCATGCTTATCTATATGTAAAACTACCTATAGTTTTATTTTTGAATTAAAGCTAATAAAATCTAATAAAATTCAATAATTTATAGAATAAAAAAAATTCTTTCCATATGACAATTTCTATGACATTTGGCAATGTGTGTGATACTATTCTTTAATCTCAGGTACTTCACTAGCTTGCTGGCTAGCCTTGAGCACAAGTATGTCCACATAAAATCCTGAAGTATTAAAATGTTATCTTTGCAATATACTTTACATTGAATCGCTTGACAGTAAGATAGGCAGCGTATAAATTAAATAGATAACGTATTGAATGCAACTATCAATAATCCTCTTTCAACTATTGGAAGTTGCTTTTGAAAGGAGTGTAAACCAAAATCTCAGAAGCAAATGTCTATGTCTTCTTCCTTTTCTATCTTGAGTCATGATTTGTAATTTCTGAATTACAAGAATTGACATTAGCCAGAATTGACTCCAAATTATAGCTGGCAAACCTAGCTCAAAAGAAGATTATTTTCTCAGCAATTATTTTACTCTTTTATCAGCATTGCATAAATCCTGCCATTACTTCAACAGAATTGAAAAATTCTAAGAGCTATAGTTCTTGTCTCAATTAGTACACAATCCTTTTCAAAGTTCTTTTATATCTTTGGTTTGTTAAAGCAGAAGTATATTCTATTATATAATGCTGGATGGACCCAGGAAATCTCAGTTCAAGTCTATTGAAAATTTAGCCACCTACTTTCACTCCCTGATTCATTACCCCATTTTACAGAAGTTAATATCCCTTCTCATAAGAATAATAGAACATCACAAAGCACTGCATGTTAAAAATGATGTAGAAAACAGTGCTGGACAATCTCTTATACCAGTTTTTTACTCACCCATAAGCTCTACTTTCAGGTAAGTTAGAGTGAGCTCTTATTCCTGGAGGAATCACACGCACTTCATTGATGTAAACTACACATGGAAAGCGAACCACATCTACATTAGTGCTTTGCTAGAAAACAAAATGAACAAAATTCATGAATTTTGAAGTGCAAAGTATCTTTGTTTTGTTTCATGAGCACTCAAAAATCTGTCAAAATATGCATTTCACACAATCCATACATTGCCTAAAAGTAACAAGTGTTGTAACATAACCATCCATTCTTCCTGACATGTCCAGACATAATATGCCATTTGTAACAGACAATACCATTAATTTGTGATATTGTGAAATTGTAACATAATGTGTGGATGGCCTTGGGAAACATGGGCAAGAGATGCTGCCTAGACTCTCTTAACAGTCAGATAAAGAAATTGAGAAAGACTCTCTCTAACGGATCAGGCATTTATAAGTGGTGGTGCGAAGTTTGTACTTTCAGACTTTTAAGATTCTGTTAATGTAGTCTTTCAATTATGTATAATTACTTCATCTAGTCAGGTTTCATGTCTGGTTTACCTGGGAGGGATGACAGGAATCCTGACAAGTACTTGTGGGAAATCTAATCATGTTACGTAACAAATATGTTGCACAAGTTGTGGTGAGAGGAAACATTTTAGTTAATTAATTAATTCATTTATTTAAATTCATTTTAGCCATCAAATTTCAATGGACCTGTGTTAGGGTCAGAGCCTGATACTATGTTAATAAGCTTGATGAGGTACAGAGGCAGATGATTTGCAGGGAAAGGTCCAGGAGCTGGTTTAAGCAAAGAGGCTAAATAGAGAAGAAATAAAAATCTGAAAAACATCTGCAGAGTGACAAAGAAAAAAAAAGAAATGGCAGAAAATAGAGAGGATTTAATATTCAGCAAAAATATGGAAAAATTATTCATAAGAATTACTGAAACAATCTAACAATATTTTATGTAAAACATTACTCACTGCTGAGCTTGCAGCAGTTTAAAATCAACTAATTTAAATAATAAAATTAAGTTGGAGAAGACTTTCATGGACAGCCAAGAAAACAAATTATGGATAATTGAACACATTACAACAGAGATATCATTTGAGGTACAAATGGAAAGGGGCAGATCTAAGATGGCAATGTGGTAAACAGTCAAAATGATCAAGCTCAAATTATAATAATTCAGAACAATATATGAAGATCCAGCTCTCTGGAAAAGGCTCTAATGCTGGGAAAGATGGGAGGAAAGAGAAGATCAGGATGACCAGGAGCAAGGTGGATGGACTAAGTTGCAGTGGCAATGAGTGAACTATTCGAAGACTTAAAAGAACAGATAGTCCACATAAACAGTCAGACTTATTTCTTAGCATACACTCATAGGACCGCAGTCAATAGAAAATGAACCTAACTTGTGAATATCTTTTCTTTACAGGATATATGACTGGTTACAGGATATATGACTGGATATATGATTCTCTTGTAATTCAAGAGAGAAGTTCAATTATTTCTTAGCAAATTATTTTAATATTAAAGGCATAAGTAATTCTTAAAATAAAATGAAAATACTATAGGAAACACAATTGACTGCTTTTAAATTCTACACATTCTAAGAACTCTTAAACATTATAAAATCTTCCCCCAAAAGACATAGCCTGTGATTACTCAGTAAACAATTCTTATGCAATTACAATATTGACATTCTACTGGTGTTAAGAGTATCAATTGGAAAGATAGGATACCATTTTAACAATAAACTAGTAATCATGAGATTGAATCATTTAGTTGGAAAATCAGGAGATATTAGCTCAGTACAGGATCCACTAGTGCATGTTTGATAGTTGATTATCCAACCTCTATTTACAGACCTCCTTATTCTATCCTGAACCGATTTCCTTGTAGTTCTGACCCATTGGTTCTGGTCCTACCAATAAAAAATAGGTCCTCTTCGTGTGACATCCTTCTGATATCGGAAGACCAGTGTCTTTAGTGATCTCCCCTCAGCATCTCATCTATAGACCAAACAGTCCCAAATCATTTAACCATTCCTTATTTGGCTCACTTTCCAGATCCCCCAAAACCTTTGACATAGTTTCTTTTTCCCCTTTTCAATATATTTCCTGTCCTTTTAAAAACTGAGATCAAAATAAGCTATCTAATGAAGTATTACATGCTTATACTGAAATATACTAAAATAACATAGCCAAAAAAATCAACCAGCATACCCTTCATTTGTTAGATATATGTATCTTGAAGGGTAAAAAGCATATTAAAAACCACATGAGCTGGCATTCTCATAATATCTTTTTATTACAATACCCACACTGATCTAAGCACCTAACATTGGGCAAAAGGTTCCTTTTACCTATGTCCTAATATAAGAAAACAATGTGTTAAATTCTTACATTAAAAAAATCAGAACTCTGAAGCTACATGTATGTAATCCATACTAATTTTAAATATACCACCTGCACTTCAATATCTCAGAAATCAAATAGGACACAAATCTAATGATTGTATGTAGACAAATTTATATTCAAAGGTATTTGATTTCTTTTTGCTTATTGTCTATACAGTATTTCAGTGAATCCCATTATTTCTTTCATCTTTATGGTGAACTTAAGCTACATGTTTAAAATGCTGATTAACACGTGATGATTTTACTGGTGCCATTATTTAACTGGATTACTCATATACAGACATTTCTCCTTTCAAAATTTTACTAGTGAAAAGATAGGAACAGGAGTTATATTGCTATGAACTACAATCAGGAGACGCATATTTCGACTGAAATGATAGCAAAACATGCATTTTGAGAGGACGGGGAGGAAGTTATCCCAAAACAGCAAAACTTTGAAATATCACACGGCCGAACATCTATGCATACCTCAATCAGATCGACTTATAAAAAAATAAAAAAGAACTATCGCTACCGTTACGCGAAGCTGATTTCCTTTGTGGAGGCTGCAGAAGGAGCTCTGAAATTTAAGACTTATTAATTCCCGACTGATAATGAACATCGCCTCTCAGAACACAATTTCATCCTATCTGGAAGGCGGGGGGAGGGAATTGGGGGGTGGAGAGACCCACATTGCCTCGGTTACCTCAGTGCTCTGATGTTTGAAAGTATCCAAAAAAAGCAGCTCCGTTGTTGCATCCCCCGCCATCTTGCGTCGGCGGAAGCGCCGAACCTTCGGTGACGAGCACTTCCGGAGCAAAGAAAAGGGATTGGCACGTGGCTTGGACGGTTGCCTTTACTTCTCCCTCCCTTCTCTGCCCTCCCCCCCATCATCTGTCTCTTGTTTGTATAAAAAGCAAAACAAAACACCCATGCCTGGAGGTTAAAAATCAGGAAGACGGACAAATTTTGTATATGGGTTGACGAGGTTGTCAAAACCGCCGTACAAATCTTCTCTTATCTAGGAATAGTATTATTTACCTAGGATTGGTTCCACGTGTGAATCTCGCTTACGATTTTTTTTGAGTAAGCCATCGATGAGCGGGGATGAATTTGTAGGCAAGCGCGCATTTGAGAATAAGCAGCCCATATAATAGTGATTTTTGAGATATCCGGCGCCCGCTCAGGGTGCCTTCATTCAGGTATATCTAACTGGGATTCTGTCCAAATTAGCAGCGAGACCGGCTCTTGATGAATAAACGAGCATCGAACTGAGAAAAGCCTTTCTTTAAATCCAGAGAAGGAACCCGATGGCACCTTTTCTGACTATCACATTTTATGAAAAGGCATAAGGTTCCACTCTGTACCGGATGATGTGAGCATTCGTCGGAAAAGATGCTGCCTGTTTTAATTTTTTCTATCATTAACACGACTGTCCTGCTACTATGTTTAAAACCACCTCAATCCCGAAGTGCGTTGATGTTGAAAATAAACCTCAGGCATTGGGCTTAGTCGAAGCTGGTCTATGAATGCCAGAGCTCGTCCGTAGCCCTCGGGGATTCTGACCTGTGATGTTTCTGTCCCCTGAACGCTTAACAGCAGGCACAACATCCCGAATAGGATATAATATCACAGCTAGTTTCCACGTAAACCTGGAAAATAATTTAGATACCAGGACTTTTAATGCCTGCGGTAAACCGTGGCAATAAGGAAAGATATATCCCCTTATATCAGCTTGCAAAAGGGTAATCCGATGGGCTTCTTCGTGAGTCGATTTAGGATGACTGGAGACGAGTTTTGACTGCAACCGTATTCTCTGGAACACATGCAGAAATGCGCAGAGTGATTTCTCAGTACAATAAAGAATCTATTTTGATTTATTGTATCTCTTCGAAATCGAGTCTTACCTAAGTTAACGTCTCCAAATGTCCACATGCACTCCACATACACAGAATAGTTTCTAAACCTAGAACTGAATAAAAGGGGGACAATTTTGTAAGCCAAGTCACTTGGAATGCCTCCGAGAAAAAAATGAAGAAAAAATATACATAAAAAGGATTTCTGCGTTTAGATTTTCCCATTCCGCCTTCATGCAGAACTAGGCAGACGTGTTTATTTTTTTACTAGAACCAGGAACCTGTTGTAAACAAACAATAAACAGTGCTAAACCGAACAGCCATTAAAATGCTTCTGAATACAGATGGTACCTAGAAATTTCGAACCCGCACCATACCCGAGTTCTGCCCTTAAACACAAAATGCAAACTTGAGCTATGCTACTCTTTCTCATCCTGGTAGCGTCCAGATGTTGGACTAACTCTCAAAATCTGAAGCTAGACTAATGGTTGTATGGGCGAGAGATTCGGTAGTTGAAGTCCAGCGGATACCGGAGCGCAACAGGCTAGGGAAGCATTCTTGTCTAACTCTAATTCATTGTAAAAATACCTGCTGCTAAAAAAGAAAAAGAAACCTTATTAAAATCAGTCCAGAAACCTACTCAAACCTTCTGCGATCCCAGCTACACCGTATTCTGTAGACTTTCCCGCTATCTGGGCAGCGCGCTTAGAGTCTTAAGAGACAGCCGTGTTATCTACCTATCCGTTTCTTACGCTATTTCTTGACGCTACGTCTTGCGTCAGGATCTCCTCGAACCTGCCGCAACCTGCGGAGATGCAAGCGGCTGCGCAGACTCCAGAAGAGCGATTGAAAAGATTTTGATCGCTTTCATGAATGGCAGGCAATCAGCAGGGAAGAGCTGCTTCTTTCACCCAAGGAGGGCGGAGCAAGCGAGAGCCTCCGCCCCTTCCAAAGCAGAGGCACTGGAACGATTGGCCGCTTACTGCTGGAATTACTGTGCAAAAAAGAGGTGATTGGTGGGACCTCAAGCCTCAGAAACTTGACCGCCCAATCCGGCAGCGGCGCTGCCATCCAGCAGCCACCTGTTTCGGCTCTCGCAGCTTCTATCCCGGATTAAGGTATTTTTCTCGCCAAGTTTAGGCACAGCGAGAAGCTGGGCAAAAAGATCAGATAATTGTAGATGGATTGTGACCTGGTTTGAGAAGTAGACAGGCGGAATGCCTTCTCCCTCCTTGGATAAGGTCCGGGTGGAATGAACGAAAAACGAGCTCCTAAACCCAACGTTGATTGCTGAACCCTTTAAAAAAATGATTAATTCCACCACTCCGGAGCTTCTGCGCATATGCTGCAGCTCAACGAAAACATCAATCAAACCGACTTGCTTGGAAGGCACCCCTTCCCCAAGCTGGGTTCCAATTCCCATCATCCTCGCCGACCTCTCCAACTGCTGGAGAAGATCAAAGATCAAAGTTGCGGGCTGCTTGGAGAAAGGCTGGCACCCGCCCCTTCCGCCGACGCTTCGCCCTCTGGAATCTGGATTCGCCAGTGCCTTCCTTGTTCACCTGAGGGAAGGAGAGGGCGGCGCCTTGAATGAAGAAACCGAAGACAAATCAGAATCTACCGCGCGAAGATGCGCCCTTCAGAGACTTACTTTTCTTTCCCTGATTGGGCTGGTTCTTCTGTTGCTTCACGGATGCTTCCACCGCAAACTCACGTGCTTGGAAGGCTCCCCCCTTGCCCTTCAGGCTTCAACCCCATCCCAAAGGCCGAGCTGTCGGCAGTCCCGCTTCTTGGCTGAATTTTGAGTTAGCCAGCCGATTTGGAGCGAATTTGACCTTCTTTTGGTAATCCAATGCCCGAATTCAGATAACTAGGTTTAACAATACTATCTTCACCACTGTACGGGCAAGTTTGGTGTGTCCCGGCGGTGTTTGCTCTGCTGTCTTTTAGCATTGTCAGGTGATCCTATTTTAACATTTTATTTGAAAATAAAGCCGCAAGTGCGGTTCCTGGAAGGAACCTGAGCTGCATCTTAGGATGGATAAGTGGAGACAGGATTTACTTAATTCAATTGGAATACAGCTCACTGGAAAACAAATTAACCACCGGCCATATTTACACAATACATAAGGTTAAAATGGGATTGACTAGCTTATGATTCAGTGAATCAATTAGGCAGATTTGGAAGATTGTAGGTACTTAAAATTCAATCAATAGTTGCTCAGAAGGCCTGGTGAATTGAATGGTGCTTATACCTCAAGAAGGAAGAATTTTAAAAACTTCAGCCAAATGTCATGTGTGCTTATTCCAAAGTAAGTCCTACTAGATTCACTAGAACTTGTGTATCAAATCTTCAGTTTGTGAAATCGACTGGATACAGAGCTATTGCCGCCCTAGCAAACAATGGCTACCCACTCTGCTTCTCAATTTTAAATGCCTTGGGCAGCTACTATAGCTCTTTTTGTTCCAATTTGTGCCCCTTCCTTTCAAGTATGAGTTAACCATCTTTTATCTCATGACCCATTCCACAAAAGCTTTTGGATTGCAACATTGAAAGTTTGAAAAGGGGAGCATACTCTTCGGTGTTTTTACTGCAGCAGACTAAGATAATATCTTAAAATATCTAACATTGAATGGAGTTTGGTTTCAAGTATCTGAAAATAGCTCAAGCCCCCTAGCATTTCTAATATATTTTGACCTCTAAGCAAGACTACTATCAGCAATAGTTTAATGTTAGGTGCATTTAAATTGAGCTTATTTCTACTGGCAATATTTATATAAAGTTGACACAAACCTAGTCCAGTCATATTTCAGTATAACAATTCTACATTAAAAATAATGAGAGATAAATTGCACTAATGACATAAGTGCAATTTATCTCTAAAGTATCCTTAAGCTTGGATTGTTGCCATCCCAACTTTTCTCCTTTTTTTTCTTATATGTATATAGTAGCTCTATCTGCTTAACCAACCACTTTAATGTCTCCAAATTTGTTGAACTTCAAGTCAGAGTTGGCTCCTGACACACAAGTGAACTAGTCCCTGCAGTTTTTTTAATAACTTTTTGGAAGTGGTTTGCCATTGCTTCATTCCTATGGCTGAGAGCATGTGATTGGTCCAGTTTCACTCCTAATGTAAGACTAGCATTCATAGTCCATGACTTTTTAGCCTTGTGCCTTAACTACTACACCAAATTGGCTCTCATAATTAATTTTTATTTTAATAAAATTATAGGTCCAACATAGATGAAGAACCCCAGATTGTGACAGCATTATATCCCATGTTCTTCTGGTGTTCCTCAGTCTTGCTTTGAAATAACTGGTCTTTGTAACAGTTGACATATTTGAGTGTAATCATATCAATTTTAAAAACTCAGTTTCAAGTAACTAAGTTTAGAAGTAAAGCCCTATATGCCTCATTAATGGTCTCAGGGAATTGCCCATACCCTATTCCACTTATTTCTGCTATGACTCCAACATTTTATCAGTGTCTCTGTTTCTCCATGTTCTTTCTCCCATTTATAACATAAGTATTCTTTATGATGATTTGTGTGGCTCTGGGTCCCACCCTTAGGTCATTCTGGAAATTTTTGAAGATCTGGTTGTGCTCCTAGAGCTTGAGGTTATGGCAATTGTGGAACCCCTGTTTTGTTTGGTTTTAATTGCATTGTATACAGTACTGTATGTAGAAAGACAGTTTGGTATAGTGATTAAGACATCAGGCTAAAAATCAGGAGATTTATGAGCTCCAATCCGGCCTTAGGCATGAAGTCAGTCATGTGGTATTGGGCCAGTCACTCTCTCTCAGCCTAGGAAACAGGTAATGGCAAGCCACTTCTGAAATCTTGCCAAGAAAACTGCAGGGTCTTGTCCAGGCAGTCACCAACAGTTAGTGCTAACTTGAAGGGACAAAAAACAAACCAAAAAAAAAACAGTATGGTTTTTTTTTTGCTTCTGGTCTCTTGCATTTTTCTTTTAATGAATTGGTTTTTAGTTGTAAGCTATCCAATTAGGCAGCCTACATAATTTAATAAAAAATAAAAGACTTTTCATCATAATGCATTTGTTAATCATTTCATCTGCATCTTTGATACTTCTACCATGTTGTGTGTATGAATGGCCTTTGCAGTGAGATTTTCAGTGTTTATACTTTCTGCATTTAATATCCTTTGAAAATCATAATTTCCAACTAAGCAAGACACTATGCACAGTACCTGTTTGCAGCATAAAACAAATATACCACCTTAGTTGGAAATTTGTGGTATTGTTAACATATACATAATAAAGTGTATTCTTTTGAAATGTAGCAAGACTTTGCAGTTGTGTAGCGGGGCTCACCATAAAGATGCCAACCAAAGCAAGGCATGGTTTACATTGCAATACAGTATTTATCAGCAATATAAAAGTCTGGCCAAACTTGTGCAAAAAGTAAAACAGCCTTCTCTAACATCTAGCAACATTGGGCCAGATCTCATTCCCCACCTTTCTGACTGCCTACACGCTGGGAAAGCACCTGCTGAGGAACATTATAGCCAAGTATCTATTAGACAAGAAGGCAATCTGCTGCTGTACACTGACAGTCCCTTTGACCCCCACATTCTGCATGCCTCACTAAAGCCCTCAACCAGCTGCGCTCTTCCTGGCTGTAGCTCTGCTCCCCTATACGGAGCCCTTAGTCCGTCCCCTCTTATTGCCACGTCCCGATGGGAAACAGCCAATGGGCGAGCTCCCTCAGGTGTCTCCAGCGCGCTCGGTCTTACCTGCACCACGTGGGGAGGGAGGAGTGGGCAGGTAGAGCCACCTCCCTAAACAGCCAAGCCCGCAGCCATTGCGCGCTTCCGAGGGGTGTAGCCGAACTTATGCTTCGGAATTGGCTCCCATGTAATTAAGTCTCTCGCCCCCCCCCCCTCCGAAAGCCACACGGGGCATGCGTCTCTCTCCTAAAAGAAGGACCAGGACGTAAAAGCAGCGCTTGGGTGGCTGGAGGTGGGGGCCAGGGAGGGGGCGCTTTCCTTCCTTCCTTTCTTTCTTTCTTACACTAAGTTGGGCTCCGAAATAGCGGCTGGCTGGTTGTTGCGGGGAAGGCTCCTTCTTTGCAAAGTTTGGTGAAGCGCGTGGGTGTTGTTTGTCTTTCCTTTTCTCCACCCCAATTTCGGGGGGCTTCTTTCTCCTCCGCCGCCCTCAGCATGACGACGTCTCCCGATTACCTGGTCATCCTCTTTGGGGTCACCAGTGGGGCGACCGGAGCTCGCCTGGGCTCCGATGAGAGAGAATTAATCCAGCTCCTGTGGCGGGTAGTAGATCTGGCCAGCAAAAAGGTATTTTTGCCCGGCGTGGAGTTGGCGGGTTACGAATTCACCTGAACGTGGCCGGGGGAACCTTCTCTGAAGTTTACTGGCTTCCCGGATGGGGTTAATAGTTAAGAGTTAAAGCTACAGGACAGCCCGACGCGCGCTTATTGGGGAGATTTCGAAAGAGAGTCGAATTCCGGGGAGATTTTGTCTGAGCCGTTGTAAATGGTTGGGGACGGATGTTCCGCAGAGAAACTATAATCACTGGGGGGGAAAGCTGAGAATTTAAGTCAGCCTTTGCATCGCGATGAGCGCTGCCGGTTGGGCGTGTTGGGAGTTTTCATTCGAAGGGGAAAGTGGGTTTTTTTAAAAAAATAAAATAAAAATAAAATCGGGGAACGTTGCGGGGTTCAGTGTGTTCCCCCAAACGGAGGGGCAGGGCTGAAGTAAGGAGCCGCGCTGGGTGGGACGGCTGGATCCCCCCCCCCATTGTGGATTCCAGTTGGGTGGGGGGGCGTAAGTGGGCCGCCTGGCTCCGCTTCGGTTTTCCCAGAGGCTCAAAAGAAAACCGTGGGACGACCGCGGGCCCTGCCGTCCGTCGAGCAGGTGGAAGGAAGCGATTCCAAAAGAAAACCCGGAGTTTTCCTGGGAGTCTCTCTTAATGGAGAAAAAGGCCACTTTCGCCTTGGGCGAAGGGAGCGGGCCTCTAGAGAGCAACGCCCCCCCCCCGCACGCCCAGGCTAAGAAAGCCTTGGTCGCCACCGCCCCGACCCCTCTTCCCGGCGGGCGGGCGGTCTGCCAGTTCCCGGGGACGAACTGATCTCTTCCTTTCCTCCCCAACCCCCGTTTCCCTGGAGGTGGGCAGTCTTCATCAGGTCCTGATCGGGCCCGATCGCCTGGCGCTGACGGACGAATGCAGAGAGGAGACCGGCCTAGACGAGGACAGTCTGGCGCTCGCCCCGCAGCTGGAACAAGCCCTGGGGCAGGTAGGCGCGACGGACCAGCCCCTTTTCCTCCAGGGCCGAACCCTGGCTTGCTGGCTTGCTTGCCCCCCTTGCCCCCCGCCCGACGGAGCTTTCTGGAAATCGGGGTGTGCGAGGCGCACCAGATCACTCCGGGGTTGGGTGTGTTGTGGGAAGGGAAGGAGATTAGGGGTGACTCACAGCCCGAGAGAACGAGAGCGCGGGAGAGGCAGATGGCTTTTTGCCCACGTGGGCTGTGTTCCACGGCTGCTTTTGTCAGTGAACTAGGATGGCCACGCAAAAAAAAAAAAAAGACTTCTGATATCCATAGCACTTGGATTTATATACCACTTCACAGTGCTTTAGAGCCCTCTCTAAGCAGTTTATAGTGTCAGCAATACGCACGCCCTCAACAATCTCATTTTACCACCTCAGAAGGATGGAAGGCTGAGTCAGCAGAAATAGCCTTGCATTCTAACCATGTGCCACCATGGCTTGTGTAGCGACTTGACTGTCACTGAGGTCAGTGATACTTGCTGCTATTGAGTCTATGGTACCATTATCGCTTCCTCATTGGTGACCCTCAGAGTCTTCTACTCTGACCCACTGAAACATCGATGGGGGGGAGAGGAAGTTCAGCAAAGTCAAAATGGCAGTCACAATTATGTAATCAAGGCCCCAATGTCTATGGAGGTTTTCGGTTATCCAGGTCATGGTTGTCCCCAAGGTGCTTTTTCAGGAGGCAACTGGATTTTCTTGTTTTTCTTTGAAGACGTTTCGCTTCTCATCCAAGAAGTCAGAGTTGAAGAAGCTTCTTGGATGAGAAGCGAAACATCTTCAAAGAAAAACAAGGAAGTCCAGTTGCCTCCTAAAAAAGCACCTTTGGGTCAAGGCCCCAGCCTTTTTAAATGTCCCATGGATCCACCCTATTGACTTGGATGCCCCACATCACCCAACTGCCATTTAGTCTTATCCTCTTACTGCAATGGTTGGATAACCCTAGGGCAGCATTTCTTAATCTTGGCAAATTTAAGACAAGTGAACTTCAATTCCCTGTGCTGGTTGGGGAATTCTGGAAGTTGAATTTTGTAAATTTAAGATCCACACATCTTTGAATGGTTGAAGTTGAAAAACACTGCCCAAGGATATGCAATATATTGGCAAGGAAATGCCCCCATAATAGTATTCTGGCAGAAGATGTAACTGAACTCTTGAGAAGCTTCTTGCTGCCTCCTGGTTGGAATAGCAGTATAAACAAAAACTACCTTAGGCCATAATGATTTCAATCAGGTACTTCTTGGTGCTTTCTAACTACTTTGGATTTCTCACCATATTTCCTAGAGAGCAGCAAATTTCGGAGTGTACAGTCCAACACATTTAAAAGGCTTAAAAGATTTCTTCTGTTCCACAGTGCTTATGATGATTTGGCCATGCTCTTCATTGTTGAAATTAATTACTACAAAATCATCAAGATTAGTGCACCTAATACAATTATTCTAGCTTTTAAACTGAAAGGTACAGACTTACTCAAGCTGAGGTCACGCACAGGTGATTACATGGAAGCATCTACCTAGGGCAGTGGTGGCGAATAATCTATGGCATGGGTGCCAGAGGCGGCACTCAGAGCCCTCTCTGTGGGCACACACATCATCGCCCCAATCCTAGGCCTTCAGCTGGGTTTTATAAAACCTTTTCACTTTACGCCTCCGCTGCCGTGTGCAAAAAAAAAAAAGGTTCAATCAATCAATCAATTTCAACTTCTCGCGGGAAAAAAAAGATCTTGCAAAGTTGGAATTGATTGATTGAACTTTTTAGTCCCACCCAGTCTGCTGTTACCACTGCAGCCACACCCACCCAATGTGCCACAGCCCCCAATGGGCCACACCCAGCCAATGGGCCACATACACACGGCACCTGACGATGGCAGTTTGGGCACTTAGTCTCTAAAAGGTTCACCATCATTGACCTAGGGTTTTTTGGCAACAGTACAATTTGATTTGGCATTATCCTCTTTCTAGAAGTTTTTTCAGCTTTCCAATTAGCCTAAAACTCTAGTTTCCTAGTGATGTCCCATCCCAATTTGGTCTAGTGGTTAAGGCACCAGGCTAAAAAGTGGGCGACCATGAATTCCATTCCCATCTTAGCCATGAAAGGCAGGTGGGTGACTTTGGGCCAGTTATTCTCTCTCAGCCCAATCCATCTCACAGGGTTGTTGTTGAGGGGGAAATAAGAGGAGAAAGGTGTGTTGGATATGTTCATCAGCTTGAGTTATTTGTAAAAATAACAAAGGTGGGATACAAGTAAATAAAAATTAACTAGCTTTGACCCTGTTCATCTTTTTTCACTCTTTGTGCTAGCCAGTTTGGATAGATACAACTCCACACAAGCCACCCTGCAAATACATATATATATATATTTTCTGAGGTTTTTACAGGTGTTTGTATGTAGGTCTTTGGTTATTCGGGTTTTCTCCCACGTAAAATTGGAAGTGTCTTAGCGACGTTTCGACGAAGTCCCATTCGTCATCTTCAGGCTGGTGTTTTCGGCTTCGTGGTTCTAGGAGCACAAAGCCGAAAATACCAGCCTGAAGATGACGAATGGGACTTCGTTTGACTTAAACATTGCATAAACAATGTCTCCAATTTAATTAAGTTGTGCATCCTTAGTGAAAGTATGTAAATATTAATTTTACAAAATGCACTTTCATATCATAAATGGGTCTTTCTGTGTTGTATCCTTTTTTTAGTTCAACCAGTCTGTGAGCAATGAACTAAATATTGGTGTTGGTACGTCCTTCTGTCTCTGTGCTGATGGGCAACTTCATATCAGGCAGGTTTTGCACCCTGAAGCATCAAAAAAGGTAAGGAGACTAAATTCAGTCTCTCTCCTACACACACACCCCAAAATCAGGCTGTGATGCAGCACATGTTTTCCTTTAAAAACTCATATTTCTGCTAATTAAGCTTATGATATTACAGCTGGAATCACATTTGTGACTCTCTAGCTGAACTTTTCAGATATCATGGTGTTTGAAATATTAAAACAATGTACCACATTTTATTATTCACATGCAATGTTTTTGCACTTCCATGGTACAAAGAACTAAGAATTGATTTAATCTTTATAGTTATGTGTTTTGCACCAATAGCATATCTTGTCCATGAGTAGGTATTGCGGAGTAGAAGGAAACAGCCCAGCAAAACCATTGTAGAATAGAATAGGACAGAGCTGGAAGGGACCTTGGAGGTCTTCCAGTCCAGCCCCCTGCACAAGCAGGAGAACCTATACTGTCTCAGACAGGTGAGTGTCCAGTCTCTTCTTGAAAATCTCCAGTGATGGAGCACCCACAATCTCTGGGGGTAAGCTGTTCCACTGGTTGATTGTCCTCACTGTCAGGAAGTTTCTCCTTAATTCCAGGTTGCTTCTCTCTTTGATCAGTTTCCAACCATTGTTTCTTGTCCTTCCCTCTGGTGCTTTGGTGAACAACCTGGCCCCTTCTGCCTTGTGGCAGCCTCTCAGATATTGGAACACTGCTATCATGTCTCCCCTATTTCTTCTTTTCTTTAGACTAGCCCAACCCAAGTCCCGTAGCCGTTCTTCATATGTTTTAGTCTCCAGGCCTTTGATCATCTTAGTTGCTCTTCTCTGAATTTTTTCCAAACTCTCAACATCTTTTTTGTGATACGGTGACCAAAATTGGCTGCAGTGTTCCAGGTGTGGTCTTACTTGGGTTTTATAAAGCGGGACTAATACTTTGTGTGATCTTGATTCTATGCCTCTGTTTTACAACACAGGATTGTATTAGCTTTTTTGGTTGCTGCTGCACACTGCTGGCTCATAGTCAAGTGATCGTCCAGTAGGACTCCAAGGTCCATCTCACAGTTACTGTTTTTAAGCCAGGTCTCATCCAATCTGTATTTGTACCTTTGATTTTTCCTGCCTAAATGTAAGACTTTGCTTTTCTCCACATTGAAACTGATTTTGTTGGATAGGGCCCATTGTTCAAGTTTGTCAAAATCTTTTTGGATCCTGAGTTTGTCTTCTGGGGTGTTGGCTACTCCTGTCAGTTTGGCATCATCTGCAAATTTGAAAAGTTCCCCTTCAATTCCCTCCTCTAAGTCATTGATGAGGATATTGAAGAGTACTGGGCCTAAGACAGAGCCTTGTGGTACATGACTTTTAGATGCCTGGGGAAAGTTTTTAACTGATCTAGAACAGTTTTTCTTAATCTTAGCTACTTTAAGATTTAGGGATGTATCCAGAATTCCCCAGCCAGCCACAGGTTTTGAAGTTCATACGTCTTAAAATTGCTAAGAATATGAAACACTGAACTAAGAATTTAATCCTCTTAGACTGTCCTCAACTCTTGTTCAGGCATTTTGTTTGCTGCTTATTTGGTTGTACAGGTAGTCCTCAACTTATGACCATAAGTGAGCCCAAAATGTATGTTGCTAAGTGATTTCTTAAGTGAGTTTTGCCCCAGTGTACGACTTTTCTTGTCACATTTGTTAAGTGAATCATTGCATTCGTTAAGTTAGTAAGATGGTTGTTAAGCAAATCTGGCTTCCCCATTGACTTTGCTTATCAGAAGCTTGCAAAAGGAGATCACATGACCCCAGAATACTGCAACCATCATATATATGAACCTATTATCAAGCATCCAATTGTAAATCACATGATCATGAGGATGCTGCAGTGGTCATAAGTGTGAAAAATGGACATGTCACTTTTTTCAGTGCCATTGTAACTTTGAACGGTCACTAAACGATCTATTGTTAAGTCGAGGACTACCTGTATTGCTTTGTTTTGGATTTCTTGCAAGTGATCCTAAAATGATTAGAATAAATGTGACACATGTAACCATAGATAATATATCTTTTAAATGTGTTTAGCCCAGTAATGATTGCTTGTATTATAACAATTCTGCATAGTGACTTTATATTTGGCTGCAGTTAGTGTATTTAATTTTTTTTAATCATTCACCTGTTCAAAGAGATTAAATCTCTTATCCACATTTTCAAAAATCACAGTGCCGTAGATCTTGAAATTCTGGTAGTGAACAGTATCTATTCCCCAAGCATTCCTACTGTTGCCTTAGTGTTAATTGTCTGTGACAAAAATATGTATATGTGGCACGTGAATCGTGATTGATACTCACAATTTTAGAAAATAGGAAATCATGCCACTCATATGTTACTATTTTCTCTTTTTTTCCCTTTATTATTAATAGAGTTCTTCTTGACAAGGAGGTGTTATTTCTCATAAATCTATTGAGTTCAAGCTGTAATTGACCAGTCTCAATCCTTGCTAACATTCTGCTCTTTGACTATGTCACTGAATAAAACACTTACGTTCTTAAGGCACTGGAACCTAAGCTGGTGCTTAATTGATCCAAGCAGACTTGATCCTCCTTTTAGTATAAAGGCTCAACAGACTATATATTTTTAATCCTCCCTTCCCACTAAATGAACAAATTTCATTATCTTCTTTTGCATTGTTATATATTCTAAAATCCTGCACAAATCCTATAGCAAAGCTGTAGATCTTTTGTTTTATAATGGCATTGACAGTGGTTATTCAGCTATTCTATAAAAGAGAGAGCAGTGATAAATAAACTGATCTAGCTTGGCAAACTCTTGGGGGAAATTAGTTTACATTTAGTCATAGTTGCTACAAACCTACCACTGTCTACTCAGCCTCTGAGCAAGATTAAATTGATGACATATTGCAATACTACCCACATGATTTCATTTATCACGTGGACCCCAGCTTACATTCAGCCTGTAACAAAATCAGTCTCCTTCAGCAATGAAGTCCCTCCAGACGTCTCAAGGGGCTTGAAGCAGGTGTCTGTCAATGTATCACAAAACAGAAATCAATCATTCACAAAAGCATGCACTTCATCGACACTCCTTTGTTTCTCCTTTCTCTCAGCCATGCAAAGAAATAGTGCTTGTCTGGAATTTATAGTCTGACAGAGCATCAACTAGCTTCACAAGGCAAGGAAAATTTCCTCTTTACAGCTGAGGATGGAAGACTTTCAGCCCATCTTCTTAAACTGTTGCTGCAAAGAAAAACAGCTGTTCTCAAAGCTGGGAAACTATTGTAGGATGGGTTGCTCTTTTGTTCAACCAAAACAATAACTGTACAGTGGTTATGTTGAAAACATATCATTTTGAAATAAAATTTAAGAAATTAACCTTGAGACAAACCTATTTTAAAATGACAGGGTGAGAGGGATTGTATTGTCATTCCTTTAAGATGAGTTCAATTGAACAATCCTTGCATTGTATGAGTAATGGCAGCTATTTGAAGTTAGGGCATTTCCTAATTTCCTAGGGCAACTATATGTCGAATTGCACATCTCTATGTTGTTTTGAATTGCAATCAAATGGGTATAAAATCTTATAAAATGTTGTGGTGAATAAGGCAGTATGATTGATCTGGTTAAATATTTTATGTAAACCAAAGAGAAGGCTTAAAATGGATGTTTGCTCATGGACTTTGTCTAGAAATATTTTTCAGAGTAAACACTAAGACAGAAGGAAGTATGGGTGTTTTATTTACTTTCCGTTTAAAATCATTAACACTGCAGGCAAAGCCTGAAAAGTCAGAACCACCGCCTTAATTGCAAATTCTGAGTTTAGCCTTTTTGAAGAACTTTTATAAAATCTATAGGTTCATACAACACACTAAGCCAAAATCAACCAAACCACTTTGTGAATCTATCAGTTTATGACTTAGCATAATATACGAGCACAGTCACTATCCTTTTCTTCTGTAAATATGAAATTGGTAATTAAAAAAAACTAGAATCTAAATTTATTTAAGGCAGATTAATTTCTCCTTTAGCTATATTCTTGAAATATAGAAGCCTGATCATATCTTTTGCCTAAGGCAATCTTTACAACCATTTGTTTGGTAACTGTTCAAAGTTACAATGGGACTGAAAAAGTGACTTATGGCTGGTTTCACAGTTAATGACCAGTTGCAGCATCCCCATGGTCATGTGAACAAAATTTGGACACTTGACAACTGGCATGTATTTATGACAGTTGCCCTGTCACAGGGCCATGTGATCACCATTTGTAAGCTTTCCCAGCTGGCTTCCAACAACCAAGGTCAATGGGAAAGCCAGAAAGATTGTAAAATGGGGCACAATACATTTAACAACTGTCTTGCTTAGCAATGGAAATATTGGGCTCCAGTGTGGTCATAAGTTGAGAACTGTTTGTATTGGCAAAAGATAAATCTGTTTTTTTAACCAGATGGCTGCCAGATACATTGGGTTAGAAAGAACCCTTGTTGATCCCAGCCAGTAACTTCAGCAATCTGCCAGCTAGGAATAGCAGAGGTTTAATAGATTACTACAGTGGGAAAGGCTGGCAGATTTGCTGGCTTCAAAGAGGTATTTTTGGCCAGCGAAGTCCAACTTTGCCCTGGGCTGGAACTACCAAGGAGATCGCAAAACCCTTCTTAATAATTGATTCCACTCTTGAAATATTCATATTAAGCAGACTCTCAGAACATTTAATCAGAAGTAGCTGTCTTTTAACTATTGTTCAATACTCCTTTCTAGAATGATAGAGAACAGATCTTGATCTTTTTTGTGTGACATCCTTTCAGGTCATGATGGAGTTCTATCATATCCCATTCGGTCATCTTTTGTCATCTTTTTGTCAATTCCTTCATTCTTCAGACCAAGTTTCTTCTTTCTTTAACATAAGTTTGTTTCAATTCTCTAATCTTCTGCACTGCCCTCCTTTTTTTTGTACCTGTTCCAGTTTCTACTTTAGCAATTCTTAAAAATAATAGAGAGAAGATAGACCAGACTGTCAACAATTTCCTTCAGTGTCCAGATGTAATTTACATTTGAATTTGTTCGAGGGCAGGGAACATTCCTTAGCTAGAATACTATCCAACTTGGAATTCTGTTCCTCCAGCCATTTAGTCATAAGTGCTCAGCAGAGTGTATATACATCCTCTTCTTAAAAGGACCAGACCAGATTAGGAGCTGACTAGATCTACCTTTTCATGGTTAACTTTGGTTCCTTTGACCTTTTTTTTTTTTACAAAGCAGCTGGTCCAGTGATGTTTTTCTCTAAGATAAGATAAGATAACCTTTATTGTCATTTTTTTACTGTGGGCACAATGGCACCACATCAAAAATGAAATATTCTGAACATACTAGAAGAAATTATTTTGGTTCTTAACTTTCTTTGCTTATTCAGCTTGTTCTGATCTTGCCAACATCCTTGAAAATATAAGTTATATGATTTTACTCTTCCTTGATTACCTATCCCTTTTCCACTTCCTACATACAGGTAGTCCTCAACTTATAATCATTCACTTAATGACTGTTATGACAGCACTGAAAAAAAAATACTTATGATTGTTTTTCACACTTACAACTGCTGTAGCATCCCCATAGTCATGTGATTAAATTCAGATATTTGGCAACTGGCTCATATTTATGACTTACAACAGTTCACCTAGTGACTGTACAAAGTTAAGCAGAACTGAAAAAAAATTTTATGACCGTTTTTCACACAACCATTACAACATCCCCATGGTCACATAATTTACATTCGGATGCTTACCAACTGACTCACATTTATGACGGTTGCAGTGTCCCAGGGTCATGTGATCACCTTTTGCAACCTTCTGACCAGCAAAATCAATGGGGAACTAAGATTCCCTTAACAACCATGTTACTAATTTAACAACTGCAGTGATTCACTTAGCAAATGTGGCAATAGAATGCATAAAATGGGGCAAAACTCACTTAAGAAATTTCTCATTTAGGAACATAAATTTTGGGCTCAGTTGTGGTCATAAGTTGAGGACTAACGTGTAGTGTCTTTTTATTAGATTTTCACTAGCTTCTTACAGAGCTACACTGCCTTCTTCCATTTCTTTGTTGCTCAAATTGTGTTTTAAGTGTTTTTGCTACCCATCTTGGGTTCCTTTTGCTACACTATTCTCCTGTCATGGAATATTTTTTTTATTTTTCTCTACAATGCACTCAAAGTCCAAAATCTTCATTTAACTAGAGTTAATTTTGGTTTCTGCTAATTCAGGGATTTCATGATTACATGGGCTACTTTCCTTGAAAGTTCTCTTTCCACTTGGTCTTGGTTAGGGTTAGGGTAGCTGGTTCTCCTCTGTCTTTCTTCATTTACTGAAGAAGAAACTTGTCATCAAGATAGGTCAGGAATTGCTTCTTGGAAGGACTCTGCTTGGCAAATGTGTAATTAATACAACTCTTTGTAAGTGGGTGGTCAGTTAAATTAATTGGCCGTGCTATCAATTGATAGTTTGGACTACAAATGGTGACTGCTATCTTGGTTTATTAAATGTAACTTGTTTTGCAGAATATCTTGTTACCTGAATGTTTCTACTCATTTTTTGATCTCCGAAAAGAATTCAAGAAGTGTTGTCCTGGCTCACCTGAAATTGACAAATTAGATGCTGGTTCCATGATACAATGTATCCTTTTAATAAATACATAATTTATCTGTATATTTCTCTAATATTAAGAAAAGTTTATATATCGGTTTTATGTAGATGAAAAATGTTATCTCACCCCAATTAATAAGAACTATATAATATAACTTTAAATATGCCAAATGATTTTTTTTAAAAAAAAAAACAGGAAGTAGCTACAGAAAATCAAAATAGTAGATCCAATGATAGGTGTTAAAACATACAAAACTAGAATAAAAATTGGGGAACCAATAGATTGCAGAATAGAATACGTTTGTGTTTGTGTGTCTATCTGTCTGTCTATGTATGTATGTATAACCCTCAGATACGCCAACACATTTTATTTATTTAAGGAAGTTTATTATGAAAACTCCATTGAATAGGCTTATTTTAAAGTCATGCTAGCTGACAGATGTTAATACTGTATGCAACAAAGTTATGATTCTAAAAACAAAAGTGCAATAAATAAATAATACCAGTAAAAAGTAGCACTAATACTGTGCCATTTACTAACTATATTCTTAATTGTGGGCAATACCTAGAGCAACATTAATTCAGCTTTTGGATAATTTCTATATATTGGTCTGTTAAATGGCTTTGGTACATGGTTTGCTTGTATAGCATATCCTTATACTATGAAATTACATCCTTTGGCCGAATTGGAGTTGCTTTGTCTTTGTGCTTTGTTTTGGTGAAATATCAAGGATTATATGATATTTTCTACGGATCTTTTAAAAGAAAAATGTGCCCTGAGTACATATTGTTCAAGTCGGAACTGCCATCGTTGTAAGTGAGGATGATTTTATTGCCCTACCTTACAAGCTTGAGTAGAGAGCTGAAAATGCTACCTATAACAAGTTGCTTGCAAGTCCAGGGTTTCTGATTATCATCTGAGTTATAATAATTGTAATGCCTGGTGGATTGAACAAATGTGCTCTTTCTGTATTCGATGCAGGCTGAAATTTCTCTTTGCCAGAATGAGTTTTCCCATGGCCTAACAATTTATGGGATAAAGTGGCATTGATGTTAAAGCACTGGTCTTGGATAAAGCAATAATTCATTGTTCCCCATTTCTAGGGTACATGTCCCAACATGTAAAGACATTTGAGATATGTAACAAGGCAATGGGAGGTTCTATATATGTTAATAACCCTAAGAACAGAAAGACAGTTGCAGCTTCTGTTGAACAATAAGCAGTGATGCAGTGAGGTTGGAAAATATGCACTCTAACCGGTTGCTAAAACATGTTTGCATGCAATTAAATAAAGCCTTTGTAGAACTTGAAAAATAATCCCAAATCTGTGGCCGTAAACCTTTCATGCAGAGGGCGAAAATTTGGAAGGAAAGTTTAATTGAAAGCAGTTTCTCTCCACTTAAATCAGTTTTGTTCAACATTTTATTTAAAGAGATAAATGCAAACATATTTAGATCTACTTTTAAATTCAAGTCCTTTTTGAAGAAAGATGTCCACTATAATTGAAATCTGAAAAGCAATAACAATTTAAACTTCTTTTTTATTAATTACTGTTAGGTTCAGACATTTTCCACCACCCAGTTTGTGTTAGTTGGGTTTTAGTGATCTAGTCAGGATGGTAAATAATGTTCTTGGATATCCTCAGTGTTATTCTTTGATTATAGAAGGATTGGGAAGAACACTGCATTTTGAGATAGATCAATGCACAAGAAAAATATTTAAACAATATGTCTCTGAGTTATTCCTTTGCCCCAAATATAAATTCTAACAGGTGCTTTTAATTTAAAAGAAATAAAATGAGATACAGTTTCATATATCAACTATGTACAATATAAGAGAGATCAGAGGGTTGGACTAGGAGCAAGACAATTCAGATTGAAGTTTTCTCTCTACAAGATTTTATTAGAAAACAGACCAGTGTTTCCAATGGATTGAAAGCAATATGGTGACTCGATATAAGCTGTTTACACATTTATGATTACAGTCTGTTCTTGAGTAAAATTAAATATATTCAAAGCAAGTATTTTATAGATAGTATTGATAGCAAAGGGAACTTTACCTGATAAATTCTAGTGTGATATGTTTGAGAAAATATAAAGAAATAAAGACATATATGGCTATCTAGGAAATTGTTCAGTCAGCATTGTTCATTTGTGTTCATTAGGCATTCAGATTTTTAGGGGAGGTTTTCTACATTAAAATTACACTAAAAGGAGGTGTGATGGCTGAAAGCTTAGGAATCCCTACCTTAGAACATGAAAAACTCATTTCACAAGAGGGGAACATTAATTGAAGCCAAATAGGGAATATGGCAAGATCTTGGACAACAGGAAAGGATATATTTCATATGATGACAAATATATAGGGAAATAATTCTAATGAAAAAGTTTCATGGGAAAAAAACAAGATGTTACTAGTAATGATGATGCAGATAGTACCTTTCATGGTTTAAAATTAAAGTATGCCTTTGTTGTATATAATTATTAACATGCTTACTATCCAGTTCCAGTTTCTAGATTTCTAAATTTAACTAAGTAATCCTATGTTCTGCTTTTATTTTTTTATAGGATTGATTAATTGATTTGATTTATATCCACTTTTATTTCTACCACTCAAAGCAAGCACATATAATGCTCCCTGCTCTTATTTTCCCCACAACAACAATAACAATAACAATCTGTGAGTGATTTGGGCTAACAAGGTCACTGGCCAAAACTGGAGATTGGGGGAGGCAGGACTCTCCTAGTGTCTAATCAAGCAGCCACTATATTGACTCTCCAATTTTAAAACAGTCCTTTTTCAATGACAAAAGTTTCTTGAGTGATTTGAAGCCAGTCACTGTCTCCTATAGCAATCTACCTCACAGGGGGATGAATTTCCAAATATGATTCCTAGGAAGAATAAAATCTCTTTCACCCATAGAAGAAAGACATTGAGAAAGCTACATTAACATATTATGACAAAAATCAGGACATGTCTGGTAGCATTTTTTCCAAGTAACATGGAAACTCATGAAAAACTTTTGTTAGTTGGAAAAGGTACCAGTACACACATCCTATTTTTTTCCCTAGAGCAAAAGTGGGATATAAACCTTAATTATAGCCTTCATGATGTATCCCAGTTTTATTTTTCCTAGAGTGCAGTCTGACTTTCATCTTTGAGGTGACAGGTATAGTAGGCTTTATTTTTAGAAGTTTTATAGTCACACCGATCAATCACACTTCTATAAGGCAGAATTTTACTTTAGATTAGAAAGATGTTTGCTGAGAAAAGAACTAGGAATTTTAAAGGGCCAGGTCTGTCCTTCAATTTACCCATAAATACCAGCACTGGAAAATTTGTCAGTCTTCTCTGTTCTGACTAATAAGCTGCAATTCTCAACTTGTGAAGCTTGCTTAGCCGGTTCACAGTAGCAAATGCCCCAAGGGTGGAGTGAATCAAGCTTGCACTGGCTACTTACATGTCAAGAGCCTTCAGAGAATGCATTCCCCTTATCCTCTAAATCTGTGTTTGTCAACCGTAGCAATTTTAAGATATGTGGAGTTCAACTCCTAAACTTCTCCAGCTAGCATGAGAGTTGAAGTCCACACATTTTAAAGTTGCCAAGGTCGAGAAACACTGCTCTAAACAGATGTGCAGAAAGCATTATACAGCCACTAATAAGCCTACATAGAACAAGATTGTGTAGCTTACTTGAGTTGTATTTTGAGATGTCATTCAGGTGTGTAGAAGAAAATAGAGTATTGTAACATTGAGAATGCAATCTTAGAATTTAGGTTTAATAAATGTAGAGTAGCAATGTAACCATATGGAAGCTACTACAGAGCTATTCCAAACCAACTAAACATCCTGTTCTGTAGATTATACAGGTAGTTCTTGACTTATGACCATAATTGAGCTGTTAATTACAGTCATAAGGCATGATGGGCATAAAGCAGGTCATCACATGACATTTTTTGCCATGGCTATTAAGCAAACCCATTGTTTACAATGGGCAAGTTTTGTCGGAAACCAGAAATAAACACTGATTTTTGGCAAAAACATCATAAATTGCAGTCATGTGATCATAGGACACTGCGACTGGCCGTAAATGCAAGCCAATTGCTGAGCTCATAACTTCAGGGAAGGGGGCACATCCATCAGAACTTCAGAACCAGGTCTTAACTTTGGTCACTAAGCTACTGGCTATAAATCAAGAATTAGCTGCATTGCTAAGAGAAAATTCTCCACCACTGAAACACATTCACAGTCTGAAACTCCCAAATCAAGATAAAAGGCACAGCAGAATGCTTCGCTTAATCTGCTTTTCTATTGCCAAAACTATTTTATGGGTAATTTTCAGAGGCAGATTTTTATCTTCCTTTGGGATTTTCTTGTGAAATTTGAATTAATTTTTAAAAGAAGCTAATAGCTTGTAGCAAGGGGTATCTGCTGCTCACAGGTTATTAAGAGGCTCTATATTTTGCTTTTATCATGATATTTTAAAATGTCAACAAATGCTTTGGTTAAGCAAAATAATTATAATGTCACTAATCTGAAAAAGCTGTAGAGGGTAAATGGATCACAGCATAGTATACTTTAGCATTCCCTTCTATTGCCATTGATGTGTTAAGAGAGGATAATCCATGGGAATGAAGAATGGGATACAGGGACATGGGACAAATAAATAAAAAATGATGCAATGGGATAGAAAATAGGGCACTCTGGTATTTTTTACTTGAAACTATCTTTAAACAATCAAGATAAATTTATTTCACTAAAATTAGCAAAATTTTGCTACATTATGTATAAGCTTTGCCCACAAATGATTACCAATACAACTAGTTCTTGACTTACAAGAGTAATTGACTGCAGAAATACTGTTGTAAGTTGGGGCAGTCATTAACTGAGTCATCATGTTTGCTGGAAATTAGCAAAAAGTGCCAGAAATTGTGATCATATTATAGAGTGGAAGGGCTGAGTCTGCACTTTCACCCCTTCCCCAGTTACTGGAAAGCCACATGAGGCTATATGTTGATGTCACCAAGAAGGGTTTTGGTGAATGCTTTTGCCCTTTGTTGTCAGGGTTTCATGTGCAGGAATAGGACCAAGAAGACAGTTTAGGAAACAAGCCACTTCCTTACCAGCTGTTAGCATCCCACCAAACGCACCCAAAACTGAAATCAGCCAAGCCCATAGACATGTGGGGGCATGGTTTGCATCTGGTGCAATTAAAGATGGGGCAAGGATGGTTTGAGATGCCAGAGGTCTGCCATTTGAACGATTGCTTTAAGATTCTTGACTGTTGTACTCAGATCTGAATCCTGACAAGCAGAGCTCAACACAGCGTTTTGGAATGCACCAAGTGGAAGATATGGGCAATGTGATTTTAGCACTAATTTCAGAACCCTATAGTAAGCAAAAAGGATATTCTTTTGGATGGGCTGGTTTAATTTTACATGTACAGAGCTATTCAATATTACTTTTGCTACTGCCTTTTTGAGGCAGGAATGGGAATTTTTTTAGTGTTAGAAGGCACAGTTTTCTTGGCCGGATATGTGCAATAGACTTTTCATAGCACATCAAGGGCTGCGCTCCAAAAATGAAGGTCTTACTGTTTTTTTAGGACTTGTTAAGGTATAAAATTATTTAAATCTTTGTGGTCGCTAAAAGTCAATACTGATTTGATGGCACATAGTCAAAAGAATAAAATGGATTTTGAGTACCTAATTTTCTTTAGCCCCTCAAAGTTTTGGCTGTTACAGCTACAAAGAGGATATGGACAGAGCACAAATGACTACACTTTTTGCATCCAGCTTTAAATGTGCTAATTTTTTCCCTCCCTCTCCCTCTCCCTCTTCCCTCCTTTCCTCCCCCCCTCCCTCTCTCTCCCTTTCCCTCTCCCTCTCCCTCTCTCTCTCTCTCTCTCTCTCTCTCTCTCTCTCTCTCTCCTAATTCCTACAATTTTGCCATTGCCTCTTTCTTAGAGTTGGCTGAAAATCACTAGCTGGCTTCGTGCCTGAGGGGCAGGCCTAGAACTTACAGTTTCCTGGTTTATAACTTGATGCCTTAACCATTACACAAAACTGGTTCTGTGTGGCTGAAGTGCAACACCCAATAATCTTAATTAGCAAGCCTCTTGGGGGGATGCTTAGATTCTGGTTCAGCAACCAGGAGTTTAGTTTTGTGGTTTAGGATGTATGTAGTTGTAATTGGACCTATTTTTATTTCCTTCTCATTGACCAGATAGCAGTGATTCTGTCATTTCTTCTAACGCCATACTGAAGATTATTGCAGGAGATAATCAAATGTGGGATACTATTAGTGGACTAAAATAAAGAGAGATTCAGGCAGAGAAATGTTCCTTATCAGACTATTAACTATTAACCCATCTGGACTACAAAGAATGTTTGATGATATATAGAAGGGCATAACCAACCTTCCTTGGGTGTGTCTAGAAATGAAACTGACTCTTCCTGCATGCAAACATGTGTTGTATCGCTCAGCTAATACATGGAAAGTACACTTTTGAAGGAAGCAGGTGACATTGCCATAAATCTACCTATGGGGAGTGAAGGTTCTCCATGTCTGGAGATTTTAAAGTCAGATAGCCAAATCTCAGGAATAGTTCAACTGGTTTTCCTGCACATCTCAGAAAGTGGGAGTAGATGAACTTTGTGTTCCCTTCCAAATCTACAGTTCTGATCCTATGCACACTACAATGCTGGGGTAAAGGAAAAGGGCCTAGAGCAGCAAGCATTGCAATGAGATCATTATCTATCTATCTATCTATCTATCTATCTATCTATCTATCTATCTATCTATCTATCTATCTATCTATCTTATCTATCTATATCTCAAGGTTGACCCAGCCTTCCAATCCTTCCGAAATCGGTAAAATGAGGATCCAGATTGTTGGGGGCAACATGCTGACCACTTAGAGAGGGCTGTAAAGCATTGTAAAGTAGTATATAAGTCTAAGTGTTATTGCTATTGCTATCTGTCGCAGGTGGATAATATTTCATTTTGCTATTCAACCATATTGTTGGAAATGGAATTGATTTTGTTCTGTGTTTTATAGACCACAGGTTTTCAGATCCAGAAAGGGTGAACTATAAATTTGAAAGTGGAACCTGGTAAGTATGCATCTTAAAATAAAAATATGAAAAACTTTTTAAAGACAATTTATTAAACATATTAATAGGCCTTCATGAGATATGTCTATTTTCCTGAAAATTATATTTTTAGAATATATACATACACACAAACACACACACATATATACATAGTGTTCTCTAGACCCTGATGATCAGTATGAAATTTCCTTTAGAATACATTAGTTGCAGAAATATAGACACATAGGACAATTATAGGAGCCCAGACCAAAAGCAAATACAATAGAAAATGAATGTTGACTCTCAGGAAAGAATCCTGGGAAGTTTTGAAGAACTGTTATAGAAAAATGTAATGTAAGAGAGAGGATCCTTTTAATTAAATTCAAAGCCTTTCTTCAATACAAATTCATTTGAACCCTTAATCCTTTGAAAAAAACCCTTTTAAAATAAACGCTTTAATTATCCTTTTGCTGTATATTACAAAAAAAGAAAACTCTTATAAAACTGCAGGCATATACATTTATTTCTTTCTAAACAGATTGAAGAGAAAGCCAATGAAACCTATAAGGTGATGTCCTGGAGGTTTTTCAATCTTTAACCAACAGTAAGAATAAAAAATAAGCCTCAGTGTTTAAAAAGATGAGGTTTATTGAATGTTAAATCCCAAAGAAGGCTACATTAGTGACTCAGAGCATGATGGAATCTTGTGACTCCCAGCTGATTGCAAGAGATTGCAAAAAAACCTCAGTTTCTGCCATCTGCTCAATACAAATAGCTGCCCATAGTACATATGGGTAATCTCAAGATCTCTCCTTTATCCAGAGAGAATTTCTGGCAATCCAATCCAATATGCAGCTGCTTTTCAGCCACAATGTCTCTCACATTCCGCAGAATTTCAATTTTTCCATTCCCAACTGGAAACTACTCCAAGTGCTGGGTTTTTTCATGACTGCAGTATATGCTTTTTTCCCCACAAATATAGAAAAATAACAATATGTACTGAAAGACAATGATGAATAGGTAGATGAATAGGAATAGGAAATTAAAGCTCAGTTTCCCTCTTTTAGGGCATGTCCACACTGCCAGGGTTCTCTGTCATTAGTACAAGCCACTAATTATTTCTGGTATTAAAGGTCAATGAAGTTTTCTATTCTTCCATCCCATCATAAATGCAACCTCTGCCCATGTTTTCCTGTTCGACATTGAAAGTAGTGTTTGCTGTCAAGCTTCACTGTCCAATTTGCCCACTGAACTTTGTTTTCTTCTGGGCAAATCCCTACACTTTGGTTATTTCATCAGTGGGAAAACTGCCCCTTGTCTGGGTCAGTGACCACTGTGTTGTAGCTGTCTAAGCTTCAGCTATTCTTACCAATCGTGTTCCAGTAATTTAGTAGTCAGAGCAGTGTTTCTCATTCTCAGTCACTGAAGATGTATGAATTTCAATTCCGAAAATTCTGGGTGTTGATGTGCATATATCTTCAAATTGCTGATATTGGGAAACACCAGGTTAAAGCATTTGCTCAATATATAAAACATCCTCAGTTCATAGCCCAGCAGATTTTTAAATGTCAGTACTACTTTCCTTTCCACGAAGTGTCCACTCTATTTATATCAAGTCCACTGGAATATCACTGAATATGACATGCTGGACAACCTTCCTTCCTTTCCAACTGTAAATACCCCCAATAAATTAGTACTGCAAAGGCACCTGAGGTGCGATCTTTTTTTCCCTGTGACAAGAAAAATGTTGAGGTAGTACATCAATGGATTTGCTAAAAAGAACAGTAAAATGGGTTGATTATAAAAGAAAAATCATTGTATTCTTAAAAATCCACAGAATGTTGAACTAGTGGTACCCATCAAACATATGTTATAATCATAATGCCTTTGGGAGATTTCTCCAACATTAGCTGCAGCACGCATTATTTAGCCAAATCTTGGAAAAGAAAGGAAGCTGCAAGAATGGAATATTTTATTTTTTAAAGCTGATCAGTGTGTATGTGTGTGTGTGTGTGTGTGTGTGTGTGTGTGTGTGTGTACATACATGCATTTTTATTAAATTAATATGTTGCCCATTTCACTGATAAGATGACCCTGAACAGTTTATTTTGATGTTTATGTAAACATTTTAACATTATATATCTATATTTTGTATGTGTGTAGACACAAATATATACATATATGCAAATAAATATATCCAATAAGAACTGTTCATAGAAAAGAAAGATATTAGAAATTGCTTTCTGGAATAGAAAATTAGGATGGCAAAGTAATTGTAAATTATCCTATAAGAGTGGTGGTGGTGGGTGTTACATATTCAACCTTTGGCAAGTTAGCTTCTGAAGCATCAGGTCTGGATAGAATTTTCTTAAAATAAGGTCCATTTGGCTTCAGCACACAGTAGGAACATCTTAAGAGTACAGCCCCAATAGTTTAATCACTGCATTGTAAATGACTATATTTATCCATACAGGTGAAAATTAAAATTAGTCAGAACAACAGACGTGAATTAGAAAGTCATCATGTAACTTTGGAAGGAGAGATTAAAATATAATTGTATAGTACTTATAAGTGCTGCAAAGAATATTGGAAGCTACTTTTTATACCTTTATCTTTTTTCCTCCTATTTTCTTTACTTACTGAAGTTTTAGCTTTTTGTGTTACTTTTTATTTTTTCTATTCTAATTTAGTTTTATTAGTTCTTATTATTACTCTTAACACTTTTAATATTATAATAATTATATAATAACATAATTAATTATATAATTAATATAATTATATAATAATATAATTAATTATATATAATATAATTTTATATATAATATATATATTAATATTATATATAATATAATTTTATATATAATTTTTATATATATATATATATATATGAACAACAGAAGCAAATTACATCATACTAGAGGACAAATCTCTAATTTCAAAAAATGGTGTTGAATTTTAAAGTCTCCACTTAATTATCTGAAAAATGTTCTGATGTAAATTTACGGCTATGGAAAAGCTATAGTGTTCTGGTTGTGGTTTCTGATGATGAAAATATTAAATATATTAATAAAGTTATCGTTATATTTGATCTACAGCAGCAAAATGGAACTTGTGGATGATAATACTGTGATCCGAGCCAGAGGTTTACCTTGGCAGTCATCAGACCAGGACATTGCCAGGTTCTTCAAAGGAATAAATATTGCCAAGTTAGTCCCGTCTGAATGATATACTTGTTATGTTTGGATATGTTCCATTATCCCCAGAGGTCCACATATTGGCTGAACTTGGTAGCCAACCAAAGGTTTTTCTCCCCAGGCTTCAGAGAAAGGCAACGTATTCAGACATCAGTATGAAGGAATGTGTTTGTATCAGTATATTTTCCCAATTCCTGTTCAAGGTGGCAATTTATGGTCTTCCAGATACCTAGACAATAATGACGAATGCTAGCACAATCTCCCTGTCCCTAAACTTAGAAGAATGACAATTGATCCCCTATTACATTAAATGGGAGACACGAAAAAAGAAGAATGCCATCTTAGATTTGTCCAGACCTTTGCACTCCATCAAGGATTATCCCGGCTTCTTTGAGCGGTGTATAAAGTCATCTGGTGGCAAGATTAAAAATCATGCAAATGAATATTATATAGCAAAAGCATGTTTGAAAGGGCTTTTCCATTTGATAAAATGGCCTGAAGCAAATTTTGTTTTACAAATGGCATTAAAGTTGCCAGGAGTCAACACTGATTGGAGGGCACAACATTTATAAGCAATGTATATGAACAACAGCCTCCTGCTCTAAAAGAAGGTCCATTCTGCTCCAAATCTTACAGCAGAATAGCAATAGCACTTAGACTTATATACCGCTTCATAATGCTTTACAGCCCTCTCTCTAAGCAGTTTACAGAGCCAGCATATTGCCCCCAACAATCTGGGTCCTCATTTTACTGACCTAGGAAGGATGGAAGGCTGAGTCAACCTTGAACTCGTCAAGATTGAACTCCAGGCTGCGGGCAGAGTTAGCCTGCAATACTGCATTCTAACCAATGCACTACTCTGGTTCCTTCTTAATCTTAAGAAGTAATTTTGCTATTCGTATGTTTGTGCTGCTTTTTTCTGTTATTTTATTTATATCCCACTTTTATAAAGCAGATAATTCCTTTTTTAATAAAGGAAGGACTCAAAAAGTAAACCTATCCTGAAGAGCTGCTTCTTGACTCCTTTTCTTTTTATATACATTCTTATTAAAGTATCAGTGTAGCTTGTTATGCTTCGGCAGATGTTTTCAGAACTTCTGCAGAAAGTTTTAAATGCTGAAACTCTGTATTTCTTTAATTGTTTAAGTCATAAGAAAGGGCTTTTAAAGTTGCAAGCAATTCAAGAATAGAAACCAAATTTATGATCTTTAAGGAATTAATATAACTTTTAGAGTTAATATAATTTGGGGGGATTTCCATAACGGGAGGTGGGGATTTCAACTTCACCTTCTTTAGTTAATTAAAGATTGGAGAGTGAGAAGTGATTTCTTTTTTTAACACTCTCCTTGAAAATCCAGAATTCATTCAAAAAATTTAAGAAAAAAATTATTTGTTTTACCATTTAAATCATAGAACAGTCCAGAGCATGGGTCGGCAACCCGCGGGTCCAGAGCCACATGTGGCTCTTTGAGCCTTCTCCTGTAGCTCCCAGCCTCCTCCACCATTTGCAGAGAGACAGAGACAGAGAGGGGCACTTGTGCTTCCCCCCCTCTCTCTGTGTGTGTGTAAAAAAGAGAGTGATCTCATGCTGTTCTCGGATAAGCTGACAAGCTTATTGGGCGGAGCTCCTGCCTTTGCTTTGTCTCAGCAGGAAGCAGGAAGCAGCAGCTCTCTCTCTGTCTCTCTCTCTCTCTCTCTCTCTCTCTCTCTCTCTCTCTCTCTCTCTCTCTTCCAGAGTAACGGTATAACTACCACACTGATGTCTATAACTGCAAAGAAATACAATCATTCCATTCCCCACCTCACCATCCCGTCAGTACCTATTCTTCCCATCCCCCCATCATTCAGTCATAATTGGTGAAGCTTCTTGGATGAGAAGCAAAATGTCTTCTTCTTTTTCCCCAAGGAAAAACAGTACAGTTGCCTTTTAAAAAAGCATCTTCAGGACTACCACACTGATGACACTGGGATTGTAGATCCAGGTGATGGTACTAAATATCAAAAGTCCATGGTCGTGTGATTTTCTACACATCTTTTAACAAAATAAAGTGTTGCTCATAGTTATTTTCAAAATCTTTTCACTACAAGTAACACCAATTGAATTAATTTTGGAAGTGAACTTTTTACTAACATTCACATTGTAGAATTAATCAAATTGTTATTTTTTAAAGGAAGATCTGAATACATCAAAAAAGGACCAGAGTTACTTTTTTTCCCTTTCCACGTAAATATAGTTTTTATGAAAAGGAACATCTACTTAAGTTCCTTTTTTTTGTAACCTTTTCTATCTCTCTCTCTTCAGAGGAGGGGCTGCGCTTTGTCTCAATGCCCAGGGCAGAAGAAATGGAGAAGCGCTTGTCAGGTTTGTAAGTGAAGAACACAGAGAATTAGCATTACAAAGACACAAGCATCACATGGGGAACCGGTATATAGAGGTGCGTTGGTCAAGTTCTGAATGGTATATTTGAGTGAAATAGTGGAAGGTTTGTCTGAGTTTAATTATATTTTTCTTTGCTTATCTCCAGGTGTACAAAGCAACAGGTGAGGACTTCCTCAAAATTGCTGGAGGTAAACTTTATTTTCCTGTAATCTAAATTAACATTTTAAATCAGTTTTCTGTGATTGCGTCCTTTCCACATGGGTAGTCTTCAAGTGACAGAATTTTCAGCAGTAGCCACATTCAGCATATCCAGGTTGGGGAAAGTGAGTCCTAAATAGAAAACCTTTCTTTTCTGTTAAGTTCAAGAAATTGATTAAATTAGCCAGGATCTTTAAATTTCTGGCTACATAACTGTGTTGGCCATTAAGAATTTCAGATGATTTTAGGGCAAGAATTTGATAGTTACAATTTCTTTGTAGATTAGAGAAGGAAAATTGGCCATTGATCCAAAACACCAATAAAAATGTTAATTTTTATTAATTCAGCAGTACAACTTTAAAAAATGGGAAAATCTTAATTTATTATCTAGCATAATGCAGGTTGAGAGCCAAGTTGGTGCCATGTGAGTTCTACTTCTGTCTTAGGCACAAAGGCAGGTAGGTGATTTTGTGGCAGTCACTCTCTCTCAATCCAGGGAAGACAGCAAAGACAAGCCATTTCTGAAATCTTGCCAAGAAGATTTGGCAGGCCATCGCCAATAGCCAACGCTGACTTGAAGGCACACACACACACACACAGCATGTGATACAAGATTAGAGGTACAGGGCAAGAAACAATGACGGTCCAATTATCCACGGATATTCCCAATTGCAATATTTAACTAAACCATACAGATGGTGCTTCCAAGCTGTGATGGTAATGTGAAGGCACTTTCTTGAAGCCTTTTCAATATTTAAGAGAACCAGCCTGATTCAAATATGGTAAGTCATGATTTCTTGCCTAAATCAACTGCTGGGATCATGCAACATACAGTACTAAAACCACTAGTTTACAAAATATGGTCCATATTGTTTCTGGACAAGAGTTACAGTATTAACTGGGTGGTAACATTAGGGCTTACCACATGGTTTGAGGATACAGAACCTGCTCTTCTAGAATGTGAAATCTGAAAGTCCTGTAGTAGTTTAATTTTTAGTTTCTAGTCCAGAAGCCATTTGAATAGAGTTTCTGTACAATAGTGTGGTTTACAGTGAAGAATTCTGTTTTCTGCAAGCAAAGAAATCAGTGCAACCGGCCTAATATACAGTACCTTGGAATTTCTGAATGTTAGTGCCTATGTATGTGGAGAACATCAGATTGAGGAAGATTGTCTTAGGCATAACTTATTGTGTAATAATAAATGTGGAAATACACATATGCAGGTATTTTTCCCTGAATGAAATCTGTGAAGGATATAAAATATAAAAAATTTAGTCAATTAGTCAATGAGGAGAGACCTTGGCAATCTAGATAATACCACTGTGCATATATATGTGTGTATGTATGTGTCATTCCCATGCCACTAAAAAAATTGCACATTGTGCTTATTACCTAAGAAGGTTGCCACCCTATGCATAAATTGCTATGCCACTAAACCAGTGTTTCTCAAACACGCTGGCTGGGAAATTCTGGGAATTGAGGTTCACACATTTTAAAATTGCCAAGGGTTGGAAATACTGCATTAGATCTACTTCCTTTCATAATAACTCTGGGTTATGGATGGTTACCTAGCTTTCTAAAAGTTGTTTCTTATTGTTCTTTAAGGTACATCCAATGAAGTAGCCCAGTTCCTATCTAAAGAAAACCAAGTGATTGTTCGTATGCGGGGTCTCCCATTCAATGTCACATCAGAAGAAGTGTTAGCGTTTTTTGGTCAACACTGTCCTGTGACAGGTGGAAAAGAAGGAATCCTTTTTGTGACTTACCCTGACAATAGGCCAACGGGAGATGCATTTGTGTTGTTTGCTTGTGAGGAATATGCACAAAATGCACTAAAAAAGCATAAGGACTTGTTGGGGAAAAGGTACATAGAACTTTTCAGGAGTACAGCTGCTGAGGTACAGCAGGTGAGAACCAGTATTCACTAATATTATGATGCGAGGTGCTAATTGAAGATAATTATGGAATTCACAACTGCAAAATAAAGCAGTCACCAATCTGAATGTCTTTAATGGAAGATTAAACAAATTCATGAAAAATAAACGCAGTCATGAAACTATATATTATCTTTGGATACCGGATACAGTATGCCTTTTATATCAGTTGGTGGTTACTAAAAGGCATTTAGTTTCACATTTTGGATAAAAATAATCTGAACCAGGGAAATGTTTTTTTAGGTTACGGCCTCCAAAATTAAAGAAACTAATTATGAGCCTGCAATGGTTCAAGGCAGGCCCACTGGCCAGATGTGAGGAATAGTATTGCTGTGACTCAGTCCTGATGCAGCAGAACGTTCACACAGAAAGTTGTGTTGTGTTTTCTGATTGAAGAAATTTTCCTACTAGATGGCTTTCGTCCCTCCTTCATTGGTGGCAGGCACTGAGGTAGAGACCCTGCTGTGATGATGTGTCCTTGACAAATGATTAGCAGGCCATCTCAGTGTTAGGGCAGGAAGGTGTAGATGAGAAGTTAGACAATGTAATTTACTTAAAAAAAAACAATCTTAGCCAGTTAATTGGGAAGCAGCTGTAGTTGAGATAGAGACATACCTGCATATAAAGACCCCATATCTAATCTCTAGCATTTTTGGGAAAAGCATGAGAAATGTAACCCAAATTTTAGAGACATTTGCTACCTGCCAGTGTTGATAAGGAATGTATGGTCTTTTAGTCACGAGGGACTACACTTAGTAGTTTTTGGAGTGGTGAAGGCCAAGGGTTAGCTTTCAAAACAAGAAAAGCCAGATCATGTACATGGGGTGGCTAGGATTTTCTCTCTCACTCTCTCTCTCTCTCACTTTGTTGGGAGTCTTTATTTTCAAATTCATTAAGCTGACTTTAGAGCTTACACTATCATTTGGTATATTTCCTGTTTCTAAACATGTTTATTGTTTTTGCTCGCAGGTCCTGAACAGGTATTCCTCTGCTCCTCTCATTCCTCTCCCAACTCCTCCTATTCTTCCTGTGCTACCTCAGCAGTTTGTGCCTCCCACCACTGTCAGGGACTGTGTTCGTCTGCGTGGTCTTCCATATGCTGCCACTATAGAGGACATTTTGGGATTCCTGGGAGAGTTTTCTGGAGATATCAGAACTCATGGGGTTCACATGGTATTAAATCACCAGGTTAGTGAAGAATATTGACAAGAATGTACTCGCAATGAAGTGGTTGCCCTGAAACAAGGAATGGGACTTTGAGGCTTCATTTTGCCCAATGGTAAGGCCAGATCTGATTAAAAGGATACATTTCTCAAAGGCTCAGAAACCAAGTATGGAAGCAAGAGTAACTTTTGCATGGAGTGAAGGCTTTATAGTTGTTTGGCCTAAAAGAAAAGACTGACTTCCTAAAAGGTCCAGCAACAATAATGAGGCATAAATGCCAATACGGAACACTTTAGTTTCTTTAGTTACTGGAATTTTAAGAATTTGCCTCCCTGGGAAATTGTCCTTTCAGGAAATCTATAACCAAAATAGTCATGATCCGAGAATGGCACACAGAAGGGAAGATAGAAGAAAAGCCCTCATTTTCCTCGTTCCTGTGATGGCAAAGCAGTTAAGATCCAATAGAAGAGAATATATGCAGCTCAGGGTTGAATGTGGAATTCTTGGTGCTTGGTTATTTGTTTACATTTCATTACCCAACTTGATGATATTACCTAGTTGGGTAATGACACATCTGAAAACAACAACCAAGTTCAGAAAGCACCAAGAAATCTGCAATTAAGATCACTACCAGAAAGATCTTGGTATATGTGAAGTTTCTAGAAGTGGGGTGACACCCAGATGTTTCCGTTCTACAATTCCCAGAAGGCCAACCAATATTACCAATAGCAAGAAGTACTGGGATAAGTATAGCAACATCTGGGATGCCATTCATTATTTACACCTCTCCTAACTTCACATGCATCCCTTAAGGATAAGGAAATTGCCCACATCTGGTTTAGGCTATGCCTAGCACCACACTAGGACTTCACAAAAATCAAACATCATAGTCATATCCATAATGTTACAAAATAATCGAAAGCCAGCATTGAAGAAAAACAAATATGAAACAGAGAAGAATACTTCTTCATCTTGTACAGAGCCTTGCTTAACAGTTAAAGATTCATCCTAACTTCAGCTTAGGAGAAATATGTGTGTAGTTCCAGGAGGACAAAAAAGTTCATGACTTCAGTGGCACTGAATGAAGATAACATTTTATTGATGGTCCAGATGTTGTAAACTAGGCTTTTCTACCAAAACCCCTAATTGTCATAGGGAGGAAATTTAGCATTTGTCAATGCAGTCATGTGATAGAATTTTGGGCTTGATGGGTGCATCTCGAATGTAAAAAGAGCTATTTCAGCTATCTAACAATTATCAACGATATTTTTGGGCCACTATTTGGCAAAGCAAAATTGTCCCAATTATCTCTTGATGTAAACATATTCTAGAAAGACATTGTCTATTTCAGCGGTTCTCAACCTATGGGGTCGATCGACCATTTCACGGGGGTCGCCAAGCAAGGCTGTCCGCCATTTTTTTCCCCTTTTCCAGCGGGTGCCTTACCTCCCTTGGGCTGGGCCAGTTGGTAGCCCAGCCAGTGGTCGGCCTGCTCCATCTCTGCCACTTGCCAGCTACGCCTCGGCCGGCGCAGGGGGCGGCACCACGCATGCGCGGCACTCCCGGGCAGGGAAGGTCCTTGACTTATGACCGGTTGGGTAGTCCTCAACTTACAACTGGTTTAGTCCTCGACTTACAACCAGTTGGGGGTTGCAGCATTAAAAAGGTTGAGAACCACTGGTCTATTTAATCCAGTGGTTCTCAACCTTTCTAATGCCGTGACCCCATAATACAGTTCCCCATGTTGGGGTGACCCCCAAGTGGGTGTGGCCACCCATAAGAGGGAGTAGGTCAGCTAGGGAAAAGGGAAAAAATGGCGGACAACGTGGTTTGGCGACCCCCGTGAAATGATCGTTCGACCCCAAATGGGGTCCCGACCCACAGGTTGAGAACCACTGATTTAATCACTTTAGTACAGCAAACATTATCTTAGGAGATAAATCCATAATGCTGATTTGTTTCCAAACAAAAATATTATAGGTTAAGAAATATAAAGTTGAATATAGTAGAAATTAGTACTTAAGTGTGTTTGGCAAAACAAGGGATGGATGGATGGTTGATCAAGTATGAGCAGATGTCAAGTGAATGTTGACAGAATGATCAATATGCAGGAAAGAAATATGTTGAGGGGATTTGGCCATACAGAGAAAACGAATGAGAACTGAATTGCAAGACAATTGTATGAAAACAAAATATGAACCGAAGGAAGGAAAAGACCATTCATGGGTTGAAACTGATGATAACCTCCCAAACAGAACTATGAAAATTTAAAAAAAATAAAAGTCAAGATTTCAAGTAGCACATGGATGTAGTGGAAACAAAGATGGTTAGCATACTTTAAAAAGTATGGAAAGCTATGAGTGGTGTGTAAAACTTATATTTCAATAGATTTGATTTTCTTTCATTTTTTACTCACTATTTCTTATTCTTTTCTCTGCTCTATATAATATTGCTAACTTTGAACAAGAATAGCATGATGTCTGAGCACACATATCCATGTAATGTATAGACAGTAATAATGGTTTATTTCATGCACTTGTAAATGAATGAATTGCAAGGTAATTTAGTCCTCAGTGTAGGGATCCATTAAACTCTCTCTGAGTCAGCCACCCTTTGAAGGTTTCCAGTATGAGGAAATTCGCTGAAATTATGGGCAGGCATTGCCACTGTGAAACAGCTTGTACCATCAAGAAATCTCTCCTAATATTCCATTTGAATTTCATTTCTTTTAAATTTAACCTACACATTTTATTTTCTCATCTGTTTTCATCTCTTCAATAAAAACTGGCTCATTGATAAAATTTAAAAGAGCCTAGTGGGAAGCTTTTTAATCCTATAGTTTTCCTTACCCACCATTACCCAGAATAAATAGTCATGCTTATTCCCCTTACTCTGGAAACAGCTTTTAAGTACTCTCGCTTTCAAGCAGAAATAAACAAGCTCTCTGCTACAAGAAATTTAGCAAATTATTGCCTCAGGCAGTTTAACCGAACTATTGGGTTGCATTTATACTTGCTAGCCATTGGGAAACTGCAATAATGAAAACCATCAGAGAAGAGACAGCTGCTGTATTTATCTTAGCTATTAAGATATCTTTCTGGCTTTCCTGTTACACCTTTACTTGCACCTTTCTCAAACAAGACTGTACGCAGCAATATATTGCTATGTCACTGCCCTTTTTTACTGTCTGGCATAAACTGTCTTTTGGAGCTCTACTTCATACCAAGTGGATGGCTCAGTATCCCAAAAAATCTTCAATGTGCTGTTAGTAGAATGTTACTTTATGGTGACACATGGACAAACTTCTCTGCAGCAGCATATATTATGTGGAATAATCACATCACAATTTTTCAGGCCAAAATGCTGTCTTTTTTATCTATTCCTTCCCTTCCTTCTTCCTTCCTTCCTTCCTTCCTTCCTTCCTTACTTACTTACTTACTTACTTACTTACTTACTTACTTACCTGAAAGCTGGTATGGTGTAGTGTCAAAGTATTGGGCTAGAAGCTGCATAACCCAGGTTCTACTCCACCCTCAGTTTACTGGATAACCTTGGGCCAATTGCATTCTCTTAAGTCCATGAAGACAAATAAAGCCCATTATCCTATATTGCTTTAAGTATAAATTAAATATTTCTCCATTTGTATAATGGTACATGGGGAAGGCCTTGAGAGGAAAGGCCTTGAGAGGCAGCTGCCCAGGGAGCAGAGAGGACACATAGCTTGCAGCTGTATAATGGATGGAGAAAGAGGCTCAGAAGAGACCCTCCTCTAAAGGAGACAGCATAATAAGATTATTTATGAAGTGAATGATGTTATGAAATGAAAGTAGGACGGAGGCTTCCCAACCAATCTGGGTGGCTATACAGCAGGGTTTCTCAACCTTGGCAACTTTAAGATGTGTGGGCTTCAGCTCCTAGGATCCCCGTGGAGTTGAAGTTCACATAGGCTAAAGTTGTTGAAACACTGGTTTAACCCAACATGAGCAAGACTCCGTCTCCTCCTCCTTCCCTGCTCTACCGTAACAAAGACAAAGAAATACCATGATGTTTTGGGCCTCTTTTAAAGTAGCTGCAGTTTGGTTTTGTGTCTGAAACAAACTGCAGTCCAGCTTAGGCAAATAATTCAACTTCATAAACTACACCATGAAAATCATTTGTCTCACTAACTCTTATTTAAAATATTATTTTTATCATTACTATCATGCACATAATAAGGCAAAGCAGTAGTTAATAGTTGGAGTAGACCTTTTTTTATTTCTTTGTAGCTATGCTGCAAGAGGATGAGAAGGCCTGTTGATACTACATTAAATCACTGTTTAACACTGCATCTCAATGAATACAATGAGTAGAGTCTCTCTGTTGGGACACTAACTCACTGGCCCAACATTTTCTTCAGCAATTTATAGCATTATAGAGTGAGTTAGAAACTTCTATTATTTAGCCTAGAAATGACATTTTCATGCTACACTTCAGCTTATACAGTTATGGTAATTCCCTGATTCAAGGTTTTCACAAAAATAAGTGGATTGGAAAATTCACTTCCAAAAACTGGGTTCTATAGAACAACTACTTTATAGCACACTGTCAGCCTTACTGGACATACCAGATAGGATAGGCAACCAGATAAATGAATTCTACTTTATTGTAAAGCTACATTAACAGATTGTTTCAAATCCGAAAATACAAATCTTCTGCCCTTTAGGAGGGTCCCCTTCTGAGCCTCTTTCTCCATCCATTATACCAGGGGTAGTCAACCTTAGCTCTTTGAGCCAAGGTTGACTACCCCTGCATTATACACCTTCAGATTATATATGTCCTCTCTGTTCCCTGGGCAGCTTTTTTGCCCTGCCTCTCAAGTCTTTCCCATGTACCATTATACAAATGGAGACATATTTAGTTTATACTTAAACTAAGGTGACCAATCGCCCTCCTTTAGGGAGGACAGTCCTTCTTTTGTAAGTTCTGTCCTCTCTCGAAAAGTGTCCTCCTACATGTCCTTCTTTTTGATATTTGAAGACTAATCTGTAAATCTCCATATTTGATCGATGCCGATCCGATCCATTTCGTGTGATGTGATGTATTTGTATTTGACATGACGATTCGTCAAGGCTTGGTACAATGTGGCGAGACGCAATTATGAGACGCATGCGCTCCGAACAGGAGAATTGTTTTGAGAGAATGCATCATGCGCAAGTGGCTTTGTTTACTTCTTACCGAAATACAACACGGCACACACACACGCATTAGATCACGTCTTTCTCAGTGAATATTCAATCATAAATAAGTGAGCACAATAATTCATGTTTTATTAATTCATTATCTATTTAATAATTTCCAAATATGTATAATTTTATTTACAAGTTTATTTGCTTATGTTATTGTTTCAGTTTTAATAATTAATTTTATTTATTCATATTTTTTTCTTCAATTTATTTGTGTCCTCCTTCTCATTGTAAAAAAGTTGGTCACCTTACTTAAAGCAATATCTTGCTTTAAAAACATTAAATGTTTTTTTTTTTTAAAAAAAAAGCTTTGAAAAATTCATACAGTTTAGGAACTCAATACTGCATATGCAGCAATGTAGAGTGGCCAAAAAAAAAAATCAATCTTCCAACTTAAGCTGTCTTTTTTAAAAGGCAAAGTTATGCTTATATACTGAGCAAGTGACTTTGCTGTGGTGCTCCAGTTCTTCATACTTTTGTCCTTAGGGTCGACCCTCAGGAGATGCCTTCATCCAAATGAAGTCTTCAGATCGAGCCTTCTTAGCAGCTCAGAAATGCCACAAAAAAACCATGAAGGACAGATATGTGGAAGTCTTTCAATGTTCTGCTGAGGAGATGAACTTTGTATTAATGGGGGGCACTTTAAATCGAAATGGCTTATCCCCACCACCATGTAAGTTACCATGTAAGTCTTGCTTGGGTCTTGGTGCTATTCTGTGCTGTACGCTGGTAGGTGCTGGAGCTTCTTCTCTTGACTCTTATGTCCCTCTCTTGGAAAGATTCAGCATATGGGGATCTAGAGTGCAAACTTTCCCCTTGAAATCAGTTGGTCGTTCTCCTTTGGGTTGTGGATTACTGTGATTCACAAAGGAATTGTCTTCCTTACTCTTGCTTTTCTGCTGACATACACACTTTTTTCCAATTCCTGGGTGCCTAATTTGCACTGGGAAGGTGTAAACAATATTTTAGAATAAACAATTTGCAGCTTAGCTATTTAAGTTTACTGTTGGTTATAAATAGCATAATTTAGCTCCTTGAAATGATGGGAACTAAGATCCCACAGAGTGAACAACAGAGTACAACTACACTGTTTTTAAAAAGATGAACCTGAGGATCTTGAACCAGATTAGAAGAATAACATCCCAAAAGGGCTAGTTTGTCCTTCCTAATTATTCTGCTCCTTATAAAGAATTGCTTTCCACAACAGTTAACTATAAAAAGAACTCTGATTGGCAGCAACGGGCCTTATATGGTTATTTTTTCAAAAGCATTGTAGTGTACTTTTTCCCAAGTCTAGTTTGTATCTCCCCTGAAAAATTAAGAGTTTTACAGTATGTCATTAATTAACATGTAGTTTGACCTTTCAATGGCTTTAAAAAATAGGACAGATTTAGGGAAAATAAATTTGTCAGTAGCTACAGTCTTTGAAAGTTATATGCACCTTCTAAATTTGGAGCTGATTTTCTCCTGGATAGAGACCGATAAAGAACAGTAAAGTGATGTTGTTCACAAGTTCTGCTTCTGAACTTCCTAAAACATTTGACTGACTACTATTGAAATGTTAGATTAAATACCATATACTTTTGAACAAATCTTATAGAATTCACATACTTCTGAAAGCACACTGATATTCTAACCTACAACTAGTGGTGGGATTCAAATATATGAACAACCAGTTCTCTGTGTGGATGCTGCTTCCGGAAATCTATTCTGGGCCTGGGCAACAAAAAATTAGCTACCGGTTCTGCTGAACTGTTGCGAACTGGCTGAATCCCACCACTGCCTACAACCTGCATTTTATTCAAGTGTGTTATATTTTACCTATAATATAATTTAAGATCACACAAAATCAGATATCTTCATGACTGCAAGTGCATAGAGAATTTAACAGAAAAAAGTGAAGCATGCCACTTGCAAATGTCTGACCTAATCAGGCTTTCCTTAAAAATGCAAGTACAAGACAAAATAGATATATATTTCTGCTGGAATTGAAGAAAAATCCATATAAATTGATCTCATGAATTGCAGGTGATGTTCAAGAATGCTGCCTAAGTTTTAGCGAGTGTGCTATCCTCTTTTTGCAGGAGATATTGCGACTGATGGTTCCTTGTGTCTTGTCCTGCTCTTAGGTATTTCTCCACCTTCATATTCTTTTCCAACACCCACTGCAATAATTCCAACAGAAGCAGCCCTCTACCAGCCATCCCTATTCCTCAGTCCACGTACCCTCCAGCCATCCACAGCATATTATCCAGCCGGCACTCAGCTCTTCATGAACTACACCACCTATTACCCTAGGTAATCCCCATCAAGGCAAGGCAAAACAAGAACTCCTTGTATGAATTGCAGGTGATGAATAGGACAAGAAGCTGGTGCTTATCGCTAATATGGATGCCTTGCAATAATTTGCCTGTTGCCAGTGTATGTATCAAAATACAGTTAGGTTGAGATAACTGGTGGATAGAATCATTCTTTTATGTTTTCCTACTTGGTAAAGAAGCCTTCTCAAAACGTTACCATGCAAAGGGCCCTAATTGGCTTCTTTTTTTTTCTTTCTTTTGTTTTTTTCAAGGTCTGATTTTTGCCCTTTATCTGCAGCTCTTTGAGGGCTCTTTTGGGTACCATTCCTAATGGACAAACTCACAGATGCAGATTTTTATGGAGTGCAGAGGGGAAAGGGAAGCAGAGGATCATGGTGTGTGTATGAAATAGAAAGCATTCTCAGTGAAGTTATTCTGTGATTCAGAACAATAAATTAGCATGAAAGCAAAGGAAAGATCAGCTGGATTTGCAAATTACTGTTGAACTGAAATGGTGTAATATTTATTTTGGCTAATCTATGTACCAATCCCTTCATAGGATTATTCAGTAGCAGTATTTAACATGGTACAAATTCAGTAACTGATTCTAGTTAGGCAGAAATGATATATTACAGTGGCTTAATTTGTTGCCTAGGTCAGATGTCTATGGAGATTCTCAGTCATCCAGGTCATGGTAGTCCCAAAGGTGCTTTTTCACGAGACAATTGGACTTTTTTCTTTCTCTTTGAAGACATTTTGCTTCTCATCCAAGAAGCTTCTTCAGGTCATAATTATAACTTTCAGCCAAGCTTCTTGGATGAGAAGTGAAATGTCTTCAAAGAGAAGGAAGAAAGTCCAGTTGCCTCGTGAAAAAGTACATTTGGGACAGTGAGGTCAGATGCAATAATTGCAAGTTTATAAACCACAATTCCTGGCTACACACAACACATTAGGGCTTACTATCCACGTTCAGTAAATGGATTTTTGGAGAAAAGACCTAATATAGGCTGATGGTCTCCATTTTCCATTAGTTGGGAACTTGCATCAGGACTAGCTGTTTGTCACTGCAAAGTATCCATTTCCTCCAGTCACCTGATGCTAGTCCCAATAATTTGGCTGTGCTAAAGAATCATCCAGGATTTTGAGGGAGCATGATAGGGACAGAGGGAATACATTCCAGAGAACAGAACAGGTTGTAGGAAAAAGAAATCCACAAAAAGCCAGGAAATTTGAGGACTGAAGAATTGCATAACAATGAAGAAAAGGATGATGACATAATAGGAAAAGTTCATCCAAGAAGTCCTAACCCAGAATCATTGGTGATGGAGTCTGTGCTTGACCTGATGACAATGAACAGACAAGGTGAAAAGAAGGGATGAATAGAGAAGAACAAACTTCAAGGTATTTAGAAGATCTTAGTATCTTATAAAACCAGACCTTAGTTGCCCAGCATTGTGTGAAAATGTGACCATCTAACTGATATGTCTTGAGCATTGCATGCCTATGGAACTTCTATTCAAATTCAAAAAGCAATAGCATACAATGACCAATTTGTGTCTAGTGGGTAGCTTCACTGGAATCTGAAATATGTTTATCAGACAATTCTCTGCATTCAACAGACAATTGCTTCAATTGCAACACACACACACATACACACACGTCTGTTTTTTTATTCATATAATTGTATATTGTATGGAAATTTGATTGTTCCTTTTGTAATTATAGTTCAATTTTGACTTTACAGCATGCAGCAGAGAATGGATCTCTACAGTCAGATGGGTCGGCCAGCTCACTGCCCAAAGAATGGATTTCTCTTTAAAGGCCCAAGTAGTTAAATTTTCTGAAAAAGGTAAGTCTCCGTACTATTTTTTTTTCTGCCAATTTTTTCCTGAAACTTCCTAATAACTTTTCTAGATGCAGATTCTCACCTCTTTCCCGTCTAATCCCTACCATTCTCCAGATTCCCCAAATCGTCCTTCTTTACTTCCCACCCCACTTACCAATGTCATTTCGGCTTACTGGCCAAGAACTGGCTGCTCCATGCTGTCCTTTTTGAATGTTGAGATATAGCAAATGGGTAATAATTGTATCCACATGCATCTTCAAATTATGAGGTTCCAAAATAATCCTTGGGGACTGCCATCATATAAAGATTTCAATGAAGGCCTTCCAGCTCAAAAAAAAAAAAAATCCCCTACATTTGCAGAGGTTTGTTCTCTTTCTTAACACAAAGGTTCCATGTTTAATTGTCCTGGCTAAGGGCAGATAGCATTCCTGTCTGCACTTTCAAATAAATGTGTTTACGATTCTAAGTGTTAATTTTATTTGACAGAAGCAGATGTTATAATATCTTTACCACTGGCTGAAATTTAGTCTTCAGGTGGGCGTAAGGTCCCACATATGTCAAAATTCAGCATCTGACTTCCTGTTCTAGTCAACCAGATGTCTTTGGGAAGCCCACAAGTAGGACAATCAGCCCCACAGATATGTCCCTTCTGATCCTGGAAATTACAAGTAGGTAAGAACAGGGCTTTTGTTTGTCATAGAATGCCCAGAACGGAGTTCCGGCACCTTTTTTGGATGGAACCTTGTAGGGTAGGCAAGGTGGGTTGTATGACGTGTGTGAGTTCCGGCTTTTTTTTTTTTTTTTTACAAAAAAAGCACGGGAAAGAAAAAGTGGGAGAGATAGGCAAAAAGACTCGGCTCTGATTATATCCACCACTGATGACATTTTCCAATAAGTTCCTCATCTGGGCTGCATTTATTTATTTAATTTATATGCCACTTCTTAAGATTCAAGGTGACTCTGGAAACCACAATCTTCATCCAACCATCAGGAGCCTAAGCGGGTAAAACTAACCTTGTTCAGACGACATCCAGTTATGACCATTTAAGACTAGTGCAGTGTGCTGACACCATTGTTAATTGTGGCCAAGGAGAAACTCCTTAATCCACAGTTTGTATCCATGTTTTGGTATATCATTTAGCTCAGTAATAGCTTCCTGTCCCGACCAAAACAGATGGAGGCATACAGATATAGAGATGTAAGGAAGAAGTAGCCCGAAATGGAGCCTTTTCTACTAAAATGTTCAGTTCTTCAGTTCATGGGATCATATGATTCCCTTTTATGACCTTGACAAGCAAAGTCAATGGGGAAGCCAGATTCACTTAACAACTGTGTTACTAACTTAACAACTGCAGTGATTCACTTAACAACTGTGGCAAGAAAAGTCATAAAATGGGGCAAAATTCATTTAACAAATGTTTCACTTAGCAACATAAATGTTGGGTTCAATTGTGGTCATAAGTCAAGGACTACCTGTACTTGCACAAGGAGAAAGAATCCAGGATGGCCATGAGCCGGTAGCTTATAAAATAAGTCAAATTACAAGTGGTCCTCAACTTACAACAACATTGGGAGCAGAATTTCTGTTGCTAAGCAAGGCTATTGTTAAGTGAGTCATGCCCAATTTTATCACTTTTTGCCACAGTTGTTAAGTGAAGCATGCAGGTGTTAAGTGAATCTGGCTTCCCCTGTTGACTATGCTTTTTAGGGCCGAGCTTGGAAAGTCGCAAATGGAGACCACGACTCTGGGACACTGCAAATATCATAAATATAGGCTGGTTGCCAAGTATTTGATAATTTTGATAATGTGACTATGAGGGTGCTGCAACAGTCATTCGTTTGAGAACCACTCATAGGTTACTTTTTTCAGTGCTATTGTAACTATGACCAGTTGCTAAAGAATTGTTGTAAGTCGAGGATTACCTGTATGTAACCATACAAATGATGTGATCCAATCCTTTTGCATTTGTTATAGACTCCAGTTCATATCCTATATAACTTCACTGAACAAAATGGAAATCCCGCTGAGCAGGCTCCAAATTCTACATGACTGCAATCTTCCAAGACAGAATCTCCACCATCTTGAATATCTGCTGGTGTCAGGAGATTGTGTGGATTTTTTAAATAACTGAATGTGCATATATGTCATCCCAGGAATAGCCTTTCTCCGTTTCTCATTCTATCCTTGCCACTGAAAGCCTTGGGGACCACATAAAAGCACTACCTGAAATCACAGCTGCCAAATTCACAAGGGAAGAACATTTATAGTTATCTTTTCCTATATCCAAAAATTACATTTATCTCTGATCACTAAAAGTATCCTACCAAGGTTAAGGCACTCCTAACATTTGTTGATACAACACATCATGACAAACCAACTTTTCTAGTTTCATGCACATTTTTAAAATAAAACAAAAAGGTCTGAAGACCTTTAGATTTATGCCATTGGGGTTGTTTCTGTGTGTATGTTGCATTTGTACGTGTATATATATATGCGGATGTATGTGTACTTGGATGTGTAAACACTTTGATTCATGTATATTTATTTGTTTAACAATATTTTTCAGGTTCTAGGAAGGTTTACTTGTCAGTGTAAAATGCAGTGTGGGGAGGGGAGAGAATGGTGTATCATTTTGTAAAATATAGCATATAAATATATAAATATATATAAAGTAATGCTCTAAAAATTTGTATATTGCACATTACTGTATATTTAAATTCCTCTAGTCAGATAATCCAACAGAGGAGAGGTTATTAATTCTATTCTTTCCACAAGCCAATATATAACTTATAAATACTAGTATCAAATTAAACATGGACAGTTAGGAGGTTTTTTTCTCTTCACCATTGTCTCTCCTGTGGAGGAAGGAATTAAAATGTGTGCAGTAAAATGTAGAGATCACTACAGTGTAATGAGCTGGGATATGGAAATTCTCATTTTAATCTTTTACATCAATTTTTCTGCTGGTATCCCTGATGAATTATCAAAAACATACAGTTTTTGTATCAAAAACATACAGGGGCTATGTCACTGTTGTAAAAATTGATTGGAATTGTTCTTGCTGGATTCTGTTCAGACCTGATGAATGAATGTTATGCTCTTTGAGTCACATTACAGTTTTGCCTTCCACAAATATTAAACTGTTTTAAATCAGTTTACTGAATTCTTGAATTCTGTATATGAAGTTGGTCTTTCAAGTTGGGTTTTTTTCCCTCCCAAAAAAACCTAAGTTGTGCCTGTTTTAAGAAAAACTGAGAACTGCATGCCTTTTCCCCTCACAACATGTCATCAATCCTATCCTTCAGCTAACAATTCAAAATTATGAGCCATTCTTTAAAATGCTTTGTTCAGCTAAACAACCAAAAGGCCAAAAAGAAATAAAGAAACCCTTCAAATTTCTATAAGATGCTTCTCTATTTTCTTAAGTATAATCCTTATTATCTAGGTGGCATCATCAAACTGACCTTGGCTGATCTCAGAAAGTAAAACATGGTTAAGGCTAGTGAGTATTTGGTCAGGAATCACCAGAAGGAACCCCATGGACGCACAATTAGAGTACAATCACAACCCCTCATGCATTGCTGCTGGTGTATCTGTGGTCATCAGTAGAACCCAAATCTATACCTTTTCCATTTTCACCAGTCCAGCTGATTTACTGTGTTTCACAATATCTTTTATTGCATCAGCTTTAGGAACATTTAAAATTTTCTGTTCATGGTTAAGCTAGAGAGGAGATTTTTTTTCATAAAAAATAGGTCACAACATCCATGTTCCATATGAGCAAATAGGATGACATGGATTCTTCCTCACTGCTAGGATAATGGACATTAATCCTGACCCATTCCAGACGAGAGAGCTCAAAATCTAATTCCTAACCTGCCCTTCATCCGATCTCAGCCTTTCTTTGATAACGTCTAGACCAGATTCTCAATAACAGCCAATTGTTTCTGCCTGTGCTTCTTTCCCCCAGTTGAATTCAGATCATCAGTTCCTCTTGCTTACAATCATAAGAATGCATGCTCTGTGTATGGAAATTGTACTACATACATCTATACATGAATCTCTGAGAAAAAAGACACATACAAAAAACCTCAACAATAGGAGAACCATGTAAACTTATGCTGTTTAATAAAATATGTTATTTGGAAAAAGATTACCAGAGGCATTCTTACTTGGGGAGGAGGTGTCTTGATGTGAGTTAAAACAAGGAAGGAATTCTCTGGACATCAGTAGTGTTTTGTTTTTTTCTTAGTTTCAGGTAGTTGCCCTGTTGCAGGAAACACTCAATAGTGATCGTATAACCAGATTTGTATTCGGAGGATTCAGGCAGCCCAGAAGATGGCGTGCTTAGCATTCAGCCTAGATCTAATCCCCCTGCTGCTTTGTTCCAATTTCTTTGGCTCTGTTTGTAGGCTAGCTTTATCAACCAGCCCTCAACAGTTACCCAGCCTAAAGGCTGTTTTATTAAGCTGTATTTCCATACTGGCCACAAAAGAAGGGACATTGCCATTTCCTCAACCTAATGTTTGGATATATGTGCTGGTGGGAATTAATTTACTGCATTTAAAGAGCATTAAAGCAGCAGACTGAAGAATCCTCTCGTGGACTTTCTGGACTTGACTAAAATAAATAGCCTTGTCTGGAAATACTGGTAATCACCAAGTGGAAAATTACTCTGTAACAGAAGACAATCTCTCTCTAACCCTAACAAATGAATATGAACAAAGTGTGCAAGAAATGGGGATGGCTCATATATATCACTTTTTAAATTTTCCCTGCTGTACCCTTCCCTATTTTTCCCTTTTTGTTGTAATTTTGTATTTTAACTTTCTATTTTTGAAAGCTAATAATACATTTAAAATTAGTAAATTAATGTCCTAAGCAGGTGAGTAATGGAAAAGCGAATTTCCTTCTTCCACAGAATTCAGACTGGAATGATCACATTTCCAATTCTCTCTGCTGAGAACATGAAATGTCATTAACAGAGATGGGTGGTGCCTTCACGAAGCCCAGAGAAAATGTTTGTGGACTTTTTAGCATTCCAGAATTGTTCTTTAGGAAAAGTGTTACCAGGACAGAGACAAACCCAGTTTAAAGATAAGGCCAGATATTTGAGCTTTGCATTTTAGAGTCAGTGTAATTAGACTGTAATTGCACAGTCTGGGGTATTTACTGGTGACAAATTATTTACAATCTTTGAGGATAACAGTGATTAGGTTGTCCCATCTAACAGAAATAAAAGAAACATGGCCCTCACAGAGTGACTGTTTAGAAAGCGTTACATGCATGGCAGTTTTAAAAAAACAGTAATACAGTCAACCAAAATATATATACCACTAACTGCCTAATTATCGTACCCAGAACCACTAGATGGCAGCAATAGCGAGGAGCTTCATCTTCTTTCTTTTAATTTTGGAGTGGACCCAGATTCTTTTGAGATGCAACACCAGCAGGTGTATCCTTCACACAATAGCTTTTTCAGAAACCATGTGAATTCCAAAAGCAATCCAAGGCATGCTGCCTTTGAAGTAAAACTGGGCCTTTATAGGTAGTCTTCAACTTATGACTAATCACTTAGTAACAGTTCTAAGTCACAACAGACCCCTCCCCAAAGGGATTTATGATCTAGTTTTGAAGTTCTGACATCATCGCTCCCCTTGGTCACATGACCACATTATGGGCAATTGGCCTACATTTACAGCTGTTTGCAGCACCCTGTGGTCCCATGATCACAATTTATAACAATTTTGCCGGAGACTGATATTTACTTCCAGTTTTTGGCAAAATCCAGGCCAGAGGTTCAGTTAATGACCATGGAAAAGTTCATAAAATCAGATCAGTCACCTAGCGACCCACTTTATGACCATATGACTTATAACTATAAGGCTCAATTACAATCATAACTCGAGGGCTACTTGTTCTTTATTTTAAAAACAATGTTTTTAATTGGACTTTTCAGTACAAGTATGAAATTACTTCAGCAATTATTTCTATCCATACCTCCAAAGTAACTTTTTTGTTCTCCAAAAATGGAATGTGGCTAGCGACACCTATAGCCTTGGATCTTGGAGACATCAGTGGACAACGTCAAAGAGTACACAATAGATTTTTTCCCCATTGGGAGCTATTTAAAAGGGTTTTAACTTTTCTACTGTTTTCAACCTCTTAGAAACTTACTACATATTTTATTTTCTTCTTGGTTTTCTATTAAAAAGTGGTGAACACTCAATTTGACAGTTTTAGGCTATCGTCTATTAAACTTTTGTTGATTTGGAGAGACTGAAATGTGCCTGTTGGGGACTGCAATTTGCCCACCCTTCTTTTAATTTATATTTGGAAGAATTTAGTTGAATTATATAGAAAGCCATCAATGGAATAGAGAGCAATCTGGCTTTGTGGGAAGGACTAATTGAAATTGTTCAGCTCTACAGCAGAGTTTTTGCAATGTAGTGTCTTTTTGGAACAAAAAACAGCAATTCTTGCAATGTGTGTGCTACAAATACACTTTCAAATCCCTCCCGTCCTCTGCATTAAAATGCCATGCTGGTTCTACACATCAGATTGAAAGTAGTTTAAGAGCTGGGGCCTTTTGATAAATATTAATGATCTGAAACAGAGCATACAGGAAAATGATGTACTCTTAAGATGCTCTGGAGTTGAAAATTGTCAGTACTATTATGGTTTTCTCCTGCAAATAATAAATGATTCAACAACTGTATGGTTACCATGGGGATAGCTTCTCATTGAGCCTAAAATTACCAAGGTGCTGACAAGCCACTATTTTTAGTACCGCCAGATGTGCCTCTTTAAAAACTGTAGAGTGATATGAGTGTGTCAATGTGTATGGATGTATGCATGTGTGAGAACACATGAACTAATTTTCAGAATTGCATTATTATTATTAACAGTAATAATAATAACAACAACAACAACAACAATAGAGCGATGCCCATGTGTTTGGTATTTTAAAGATAAACATATATACACTTTTTCTTAAATCTTCATTTTGAAGGCATTTATAATGTAAAAATATAATCCAGAGAATCAAGGAGACAAGGAAGAGTGTCAGTAAGAAAACTGAATAAATCTCTGATTACTAAAAGCAACACCAAAAAAATGACCTATGCAAGCAGGTATTTATGGCTCTCTCAGGTGTTGCTGTTTTAGTAATATTTGTACAACATGGTGCAAAGGTATTGGGGGGAGGGTAAAGAGATTCAGCCAATAAAATATAATTTGTAGTGCTACTGTAATTAAAATTTATTTGGTAGAGTTTCCATTTTTTAAAAAAACCCACATCAGGGTGGGGAAAACATCACAAGAATGTAGTTGAACAAGGTCGAAGAAATAATACAATTAGGAATAGATAATTTGCTGCAATAAGAGCATTCTGTTGTCAGTATATTACAACATCTGCATCTCTTGCATTCATCAGAGAAAGCTAATGAGGAGAGTTAAGTCTGACCTACAACTAATTTCAGCCTTCTTGCTTTCATGCAAAAAAGCAATTACAGTTAGAAAAAGTACTCAAGAACAGTGATATCCTCATTGCACTAAACATTCCAGCCTTTTCACCTCTACTGATGATAAATATCTCTGGACCAAGTGAAGAAACCTGTTTGTTTTTAAACACCACCAGAAAATTATCTTCCCTGTGGGTTCAGTTAAACCCTGGTAAAACAGACGTGGATATACCAAATACACATACACGTAACAGTAACTGTACGTAATACTTAGCTGTGGATACTATGTGTACATAACAGATAGATCAGGGGTTCTCAACCTTGGCCACTTTAAGACTTGTGGACCTCAACTCTCAGAATTCCTCAGCCAGCAAAGATGAGATAGATGAAGCACTGTGTGACTTTCACAGTTAAAAATGAAAGAAAAATATTGTCATTAGAATACTATGGGACCTAAGATGACCTTTTCTGACCCAGTGTCATCCACATATGTTGGACAACGCTTCCCATAATTTCTAACTTACATAATTTCTAACTGGTCAATGCAAAAATTATGGGAATCATACTCCAACATTTCATTTACAACATAATCCAATAGCATCATTTACAGAAGGCAGACCTGAGGACTGGAGTTGCTACTAATGACAACTTTGTGTGCCATCTTAAGATCACCAATTCGGGTCAATAAATGTCCA